ACTCTCTCTCTCTCTCTCTCTCTCTCTCTCTCTCTCTCTCTCTCTCTCTCTAAAATCAGAGAAATGGAAAAAGAGAAAAAAACCCACCTTATCTTCAACTTCCTCGCACTTAGCTACTCCTTTTGCTAGTAGTGTGAAATCCCCTGCAAATGACCTCAATGAAAACCCATGTTTTCAACCATATAAAATCACTATTTTCAAGAAAAATAAATTCAGTTCAAATGAATTAGCCAACGAAAAATCTCTTATTTATACAGAAGACTTGGAAATCCCAAATATCTGAAAAATGCCTAGAATATCTTGCACTCTCAGAGGATTCAGAAACAGAAAAAGTTTTAAAAAAATTATATATACAATAAAAAGGAAATAGAAAAAAATTTGGGAAAAAAGAAGCAGTAAGGTGCCATCTGCCTTAGCAAACTTGAAGAAGAGCCAAATGATAGCAGTTGTTACCATACAAATCAAAACTAGATCCAACATATCATCTCTCTCTATAATCTTTTTTCTTCTCTCTCTAGAATGAAGCCCACAATCAATAAGAGGGAATAGAAACCATTGTAGTTGAATCTCTAGAGAGAGAGAGAGAGAGAGAGAGAGAGAGAGAGTACTTGGGAGGGGCACCTGCTTCTTTCCTCCTCTTCTGCTACATATGAGAGAGCGAGAGACAGACACAGAGACTGATGCGTTCTTCTTAAGAGAGAGACAGAGAAGACAAAGAGAGCTTTGTCAGAGAGAGAGCTGAGAAAGCCGGCGGCTATGGCGGTTGGGGAGAGGAAGCGATTAGGGTTGTCGAGAGGAAGCGGCTATGGCTAGGTTTTTCTCTGAAAGGGGCTTTTTCACGCGGGTGGGATGGCCTTTTCATCGGGATGAACTTCCCCTCAAATCTTCCATTTTCAAGTTATGTAGATTTAGTTGGAAAAGTTTGAGAGGGGAAATTCTACAGTAATAGTAACTTTCCATTTTAAACTTACCAATTTTTATCAAACACAAAAGAGCTAGAGTAACAGGTAAGTTCCTGCTTCTAGGAAGTACTATCAAACACGCCCTTAGTGTACTTGTGACGAATCTGGGGAATTCATTCTGTTCACGACAGATTGGTCTCAAGGAACCCTTTGTTTCTGTATAATGCTCGTCTCTCCTTTGGCTTCTGTGATTGTAGACTGTATTATCCCCAAAATTACGACTTGCTGGTCAACAACAAATTAGCTATTGTTCTGGGCAGGTTCTTGATATGGTGAACGCATGACTTTGTACTTATTCAATGTAACCATTCATTGCCATTCTAGGTCCCAGATTCAAGTGAAGAGAGCCTTGCAGCTGTTGCAGGAATGTTTAGCAGTAAAGCAAAAGGTATGTACCGCGTATCCTCATCAGTTTGAGACAAGAAAACTAGGAAAGATGTTTAGATAATTAGCTTATAAGATTTGGTTCTTGATTATGATAAGTCTATTCAAAGTACTATTGGACTGCATTATTTATGTCTTGACATTCTAATGAGAGCTAAGGGTGCAGAATTCATACTTCAACAATTTCTTCAGGGCCTTTGATCCTATCAACAATCATTTCATCCACCACATCCTCCATGAAAGCCTATTACTTGTCCCCTTCCACACACCCTACAGCACAATCGCAGAGAATAAATTCCAAATCAGCTGTCACAATTCCTGAAAGCAATCCAATTGCCTTCATATTTAATATTTAGTTATTGGTCGTCTTTGGGTTCGCCCATGCTACCTCAAGATGTCTCAAGCCCTGGTCACAAAGCTATGGGATTAACACTTCACTATAGTTGCGTTGCTATGATGCGCTGTATTGCACAATGATATCAGGATTGCTGCAAGGTGCCATGCATGCATTATGATTACTTTATTGGAATAAACTCTTCCTCTTGAATTTTTGATGACTGGTACTTTCACTAAACTTACCATGATTGCTAATTAGGATTTCTGAGGAGTTTGCAGAAGGAATAAATATTGGAGGTTTATGCATTATATCTTGTCCCTAAATTTAACTATGAGATAATTAGACTATAAAAAAGAATCTACACTATTGGATAGTCTTTACATTTTTTATACCGTATTTCCAAGTTAGATTGGATAACCATTCTGTTGTGGTATTGGTCAATGTAATCAAAATATTTTAGCATTTGTTTTCAACTGGATACCTTTGTAGCATGAATAATAGTAGTTTATAGACATATACAATAGAAAAGGTCTGTCAACCATGGAATCTGAAAAAATTGATATCTTCAGAATCTGGAGGTTCCATGAAATGAGGACTTGATATTATTGGCCTGGAAAACAATTGGAAAAATCTGAAATATGGGAGAAATAAGAGAGAATTTTAAAAATAGAAATATCATAAAAAGTTGTAAAGCAATAGCAAAGTATATTGACAAAATTAATTATGGATCTGTTATAGTTGATTTAGTAAAAAAATTAAATTTCAAATGCTATAAATTTGGATTGAAAAAAATGAAAATTACCTAAAGTTTTGAGGCCGATCACCCAATCTTTGTGCTCGGTCACGGTGTGTATCAATGCCTACGATCCTTGTCAAAGCTTCCTCATAACCCAAATCAAAACTCCAAATCAATTTTGGGGTTTTGAATTGGGATCTAGGAGATCCGAGCTTCTAAAAAAATTGGATGAATAGTACATCTTAATTTCTAATGCCTCAAATCCTAATCCTTTAGAGTTTTATTTTTTATTTTTATGTTATTTATTTTGGGAAAAAAATATTTTTGTAGGTTCAAGAGCACAAAAAGAAGCTTAGGGATCAAAAGTGTTGTCAAAGATCGACCATCGATTGTGAAGAAATCACAATTCTTCAAAATTGGGCAAAAACTTGGCCCAATTTCAATCTAAAAATCTATCATCTCTGATTTTTTCTCAATTCTATTGTATCTAATAGATCATGCAGAAAAATCTAACTAGGGTTTCAAATTTGGCTCAAACCGGTTAGATTTTGGGCTTGAAATTAAAAAACAACGTAAAAAGGGGGTGGATTTCTTTGCTCCCTTTTATTTCTAAAAATGTATACTACTCAGCGAGTATTGCACATGATACCCTTCGGCTCTCATGTCTGGGCTCGGATTGCTACAGAGCCCGTGTGAGTTGCGCAAGGTGGATACTTAGGTGTGTTTTCAATCACACATGCGCACGTGCACACATGAACTGACAAACAAATATATTGAGGAATAACTTACAGACACTATAGCATCTTTCCTACGTTGGAGCGCTATCTATATCAATTGCCCCATTTTGATCGAATGGTTGAGAGTGTGGCTACTCTTTGAATTTTATTTTTTTCAAAAATCCAATCAAGTTGAAGTTTTGGGTGTCCACACTTCCAACAAGGGTGCCCTTGTTAACAATATAAAAAAAATGTTTGTAGTAGACTAAATCGAACAAAATACTCTTTCAGATCATGGTTTTTCCTGGTCATTTTATTTTATTAGAAATATTTTAAATATATTTTTAACAGGTGCACCCTTATTGGAAGTCTAGATGCCCAGTCTAATCCGTTCAAAATAAATAAATAAATTAAAATACTCATACACTCTCTCAACCGTTTGATCAAGAATGGAAGGCTCACTATATGATATTGTAGGGAAAACACTCTAGTGTTTTGTAGAATGCCACCCCACCGCCCCCCCCCAACACCCTCTCTCTCTCTCCCCCCCCCCCCCACAATTCATACAAGAGAAATATGTTTGTGAGCTCCTCTTCTTTCTATGAAAGAGTATATGCTCGATGGCCTACAGCCTATATTCAATCTCCATGATCCAGACGACCAATGTGTATGCACATTGTTTCATTTTTATGTTTATTCTTTTGGAAATCCTTTGGGTAAAATTTGGGGTGTGCTTGACCTAGGTGCATATAAATAAAAAATGATATGCCAAAAAAAAGGTGATAAAACTACCCCAGCCCCTATTGGTGACCGATAGTCATTTGGTGGTTCAATCTGGACCGAAGGGCTTAGAGCTGTTCCTTATGTCTCTTGGTTCACAAAAGTTTTATCCTAGGCCCTCTCTCTCTATGTATGTAGTGCTGGGATCCCTCTATGGAATATTATATTCATTGTTTCCAGGCATTTGCTCTATACATACGGTTGATGCGCCTTTGTGTTGTCAATTTCATTGAATAAGAGTATACTCGTTGCAAGATTGGATGTTGACAATTGGTGCTTTACGTTGGTTTCTTTCGTATCTATCTCAATGTTTCTTATGTATGATTTCTACAGGAGTTGAATGGAGCTTGGAGACTGATGCACCTAATGCAGCTGTAGTGGTTGCTAGTGAAGCACATGGAATAACATTGGCAGTTGAAGGGCTTCTTGGGGTTGTGTTTACTGTGGCTACTCTGACAGATGAAGCAGTGGACATTGGTGAGGTGAGATGTTTTGGTATTTCCCTTTTGAGTGGTGAACGGTGAGTGTCTCTTTGCTAATAATGGTTTGTTGGCACACATAGCTCGAATCACCAAGATGTGAGAGCGATCCACGGGGGAAATGCATAGGAAACACTGCAGTGCTGTGCTTGTCAATGGTTGATTCTTTGTGGATGACCATCCTGAATGCTCTATCATTGATTCTGACAAGGTATGATGTGAATATGCGTAAAAATAAGTACGCTCACGTTTGTTTCTTAAGGGACGTCCTTAATCTTGATGCATAATTACATGGAAGGTCTCAAGGAGAGGCTATTGTATTGGAGATACTAAAAGGTTATCAAGCCTTTACACAGGTAAGATGGTCATACTTCTGAAGTATGAGCCTGAGTATGTTCCTCCCCTTATTTTGGTTCTTACTTTTCTTTATTTCTTGAAAATTATCCTTCGATTTCTATTTCTTTTATTTCTCCTTCTGAGATAATCCTGTGGATGATTAAAACTCAACATTTTTTATTTTTGTACTTACACTTCTCAAGAATATGTTGCTCACTCAGCAAAAAGCATATTTTATGTTTCTGGCTTTACAGGCATGTGGAGTACTCCGTGCTGTAGATCCTTTGAATTGTTTTCTTGCATCCCTCTGCAAATTCACTATCAGTACTCCTGGTGAACAGGACAAGAAAAGGTTGGTGGATTTTGTTTAAATCCCTAGTGAATCCTATATTTGGTTCTCTGATGCCTGCTACTTTGAAGGCCTGAATTTCTAATTTCCTTTGCATATCTGAATAGCTGTCTCATACATTTTGTTTAGGTGAACTATTATAATCTATACTTAGCACTGTACCCTATTGGATTGAAAATTGTATATTACTCCCATACGTTGAATACTTTTATCTAATTTCTTCATTTTAAAAGAAATATACGTAACTTTTACTAGTGATGCCAAAAACCTTCCTGAGGGGTGGGGGTAAATGTATCTTAAGGAGTTCGGGTTGTCACAATCACGGTAAGAATCCTGTTTTTTTTTGTCAAGAGTGTCTGTGCTCGAAAGCCGTTTGAAAGTTTCACATACATGTCCTATCCATAAAACTTCTGGACGTGGTTTGGGAATTTGACAGTCTTGCCTTTAATTAGCCATTATAGATCGAGATCCATATTTGAGATTTTACATAAATCACATAAATTTAGACTTAAAACTGTTGTCATTGTTTTATAAGAATACAGAAAGTTTAATGAGCATATGTGTAGACCACATCAGAAACTGCTGATTGTCATTTGCCCCAAATTTTGGTCATCAAAGCGCCGTGCAGTGAATCTTGGGTCAGAGTTCGTAGTCTCTAGAGGCCCAGTTTAGTCATGTATCACCTGCTCCTCCTCTTATTTAAGTTCTCAACCAACCACAACCAATTTCGTTTGAGTTCTTTTGTTCCTACCATAAAAGCCTAAATGTAAGACAACTTAAGGGACCGTGACTTGCAACCTGGACTTGTTGGTCGAATCCCAGTTGATCATGATTTGTTCAACCTGGACAATCAGTCCCGGTCGAACGATTCTTGGTAATATCACCGTAAGAAAGACTATGATTTATAAGTTGCTTTTGTGCCCCAGCATATAAAATGTTTATTTTATTTCTCATTGGGTAAGAATATGTGTATTATTTTTATCCTGGAATCTTGACTTCTATGTTGAATGATGAACTTTTAGATGATGTTTCAGAGTTGAATGCATATGGGAGTTTATATTTTGAATTGAATTACAAGTATTTGTGTTTTTGTTTGAATTTATACTTCTTAAATCTCTGTCGTGGGAGAGATTGACATATTATGGCTGACCAAGCTATTCAACAAGATGATGATAACAAAGAAAATGCCAAGAAAAAGTACTTTCATATTTATTTACAAGAACAAAAGAGACATACAAAACTGTTCGAATTATCGAGGGGTTAAACCTATGAGCCACATTATGAAACTGTGAGAGAGAGTGATTGAGCAAGGACTAAGACATAAAACGAGTGTATCAAAAAAACAATTTGTTTTTATGTCAGGAGGTCAACGATTGAGGCTATTTTCCTACTTAGGCAATTGATTGAGAAGTTTAGGGAGAAGGGAAGAGATCTCCACGTGGTCCTTATTGATGTAGAAAAACATACCATAAGATCCCTCAAGAGTTAATTTGGTGGGTGTTGGGAAAGATAAGGAGTCTCTAGAGGATATATTGTGTGGCGAGAGATATGTAAAAGGGAGCGCTAACTAGTGTGAGGACAGCTAGTGGAGAAGCAAGTGAATTTTTCTGTGACAGTAGGCCTACATCAGGGGTCAACAATGCCATATTTCTTTGTTTTGGTTATGGACGAGTTAACTGAACATCTACAGGATGAGGTATCGTGGTGTATGTTGTTCGCAATGATGAGACTAGAGGCGGCATCAACGCAAAGTTAGAACTTTGGAGGGAAGCTCTAGAATCTAAAGGTTTAAAATTAGCCAGACTAGGACAAAATATGAAATGCAAGTTTAGCAGTGATAGAAGTAGAAAATTGCAAATAGTTAAGATTGATGGCCAAGAAATACCTAAAAAAGATTATTTTCAATGTCTTGGGTCGATAATCCAAGAGAATAGAGATATTGAGGAAGAAGTTGCTTATAGAAGTAGAGTTGGGTGGGCCATGTGGAGATGTGCATCTGGAGTTCTATGTGATCATCGCACACTAATGAAACTGAAGGGAAAGTTTATAGAACGGCTGTAAGACAGCCATGCTTTATGGGATGGAATGTTGAGCGGTCAAGAAACAACATATCCGTAGGATGGGTGTAGCTGAGATGGATGAGTGGCAAGACAAGAAAGGATAGAATTCGGAATGAATACATATGAGCAAACTTAGAGGTGGCTCCAATGGGTGATAAGATGAGGGAAAGTTGACTTAGGTGGGCTGGCCATGTGCAGTGTAGGTTTAACATATCACCAGTTAGGAGGGGTGATTTGATTCAAGTAGAAGGTTCTGAAAGGGCAAGGGACAGGCCGAAAAATACATGGATGGAAGTGTTGAGAAATGATATGGAGGCTTATGGTCGGAATAAGGGTATGGTTCTAGATACATAGAATTAAATTAGTAAACTATAAAAAAGTCCAATATTTATGAAAATTATGTGCTTGACTTGCTGGGTGACCCTATCCATTTACTGAGGCTGGCTCGGGCTCTAGGATTTTGAATAATGCCCGATAACGTGGTACAGCATCTAAGAAATCCATTGGAATGCTTTCTAGCAGAGCCAATGAGAATTTGACAAACAGTTTTGCTGATGACCGATGCTATAATTTTACCTCATCTAAATAAATATCCCTAGAAAAATGATATAATTAGATTCATAAATCCATTTGTCAGTAGGAGGAGGTTCTATTAGGAGAAGGTTTAATTATCAAGTGTACTAAGGTTAACACTTTCAAAAAGAAAATTATCAAGTGTACTAGTTCTTTCCACAAATGCATGTGAAAGCATGTTTTAATTGTAATTGCCACTTTCCAATTCGACATATTCTGAATATCTTGTTTTCCATGTCTTGCTATATTTTTTGGTGCTTCATACCTTGAAGTTATCATCCATTGTGCTGCCTTTATAGTAATGATTGTGGTAATCCATCTTGTATGTATGGTGAGACAATGGCTTATTACTTGAAGTGTTACTAGTGTTATGCTGTCTCCTGGATCAAAACGTCCTGAACATGTAGTCGAACAGAGGGATAACATTGTCCTCACTCCGAAGAATGTTCAGGTACATGTTTAATTTCTTCTCTTCATTCTTTATCTTTTCTGCCATGTGAAATGTCTTGACCCTGTTTCTTCTAAACCTAGTATCTGTGGTTCAACTTATATCCTCTGACTTGGCTGCTTTGACATTGTAGGCATTGAGGACTCTTTTCAATATAGCACACCGGTTACACAATGTATTAGGCTCATCCTGGGTGTTGGTATGCAAATCCTCATGTCCATAATCTTATAAACAGATTGCACATTGTGTTTCTCATCTTTGATACCCATTCTCCTATGCTTTGCAGGTACTGGAGACTCTGGCAGCTTTAGATCGTGTAATCCATTCTCCACATGCTACCACACAGGTTCCTATAAATATTTTGAGAGTGAAACTACATACTGTTTTTACCATAGACTAGGCACTTTGTTCTTTGAACTTATTAATGTGCTCATTTCCTGTTGAAGTCTCAAAAAAAAAAAAAGTTCATTTTGAAGTTATTCGAAACTGTGAGATATTGCACATTGTCTTTTGCTCGATCTCCACATGCATGAATGAAAATCTAAAGTGGTTGAATAGAATTAGACTTGCATGTACCATCAAGAAATAAAGGAAAAAAGAAAAAAAAATTGTTGTATGCTTGTGAACTTGTCCTAAAAACAAACAGTGTGGGGACCAACTCCAGCATAGGACACTCAATGAACTCGAGCCTATGCATTGTGGAAAATTCCAAGTTTAAACTTTCATGTTGAAAAGGGGCATTCTATTGCAGGTGCAATGTTTTGGGACTCGGCTAGGCCAAGGTATTCGGCCATTGGCCTAGGCAAGTTCCTCGGGTAAGTCTGAGTAACTCGCACCAGTCCAAGCCAAGTTAAATAAATAAAAAAATAAAGGCGAAAATTTAATTTGTATCTATAATCTCCAACATATTTACATAAAACCCAAAATGGTGTACCTTGCGTGCCTTAGTCAGAGAGATCTCGAGCTCGATCCCTAACCTTGAGTTTTTTGAGCTGTCTTTCCTAACTTGTAAAATGAAAACGGGCTAAGTACAGAAAAAACATTAGGCGGTGTTCTCAAGGAGATTGAAACCCCCTACATGACGAGCAATAGGCACACATTGTACCCAACAAGCAATTTGAACGTATTCAATGTCAAACTGCACATATTATATATAACCAATACATACATGATGGACTACTGACTCGGGAAAAACTTCCTAACTCCGCCGAGTCTAAGCCTGAGTCTCAAGACACTGTGCAGGTCAGTTTTCTCACCATGACAAAAGAGATGCTAAAGCACATTGATGATTGTTTTATGGTTCTGTGGCTTCAGTAGTGTTATCTTTTGAGAACTGGTCTGGCCGCCCTCCTCATGTGTTTCTACATGGGTGGCGTTTATTGAAGGGACTGCACAAACATGGTGCAGAGCCCACCTTGTAATAATTTTTTCTTACTCTGTTTGATCAAAAAGCTAGTTTGATCATTCAATTTGTGTTATGTTCTTTTATGGAAAGGTCATTTTTGAGTACTTCGTAACCAGTGGTAGTACACTGGGGCCGTAGGACCTACATGCATAATATCACATACTGATATTAGTTGATCAATACGTGGTTCAAAGATCAAGTTAACGTCTTAAAAGCAAGAAAAATATATGGGTTCCTCCATACTTTGGAATGTACATAAAATTCGCTTATCTTCATTTCCCAAAATCTTTGTTGTTCTTGAAGTAGAGTTGCAGGTTTGGCATATAGGGCTGATTGGTCATTTTCTGTTCTCTAGAGTTAAGGTGCAGCCCTCCTTGCTCTTCATTCATAGTTTATACTGTTTACAGATGGAAACTGTGCCTTGCAGAAGTTGATATGCTGCTAGTTTAGCATGAAGGGAGGCACCCTGTTAAGATACACTTCTTGTTTACTGAAACAGTTCGGGAAGAAACGCAATCCCACCCTTATAGTAACACCACACAAATGAGATGAAGAAATATGTACATCGGTCCAGTTGTTGAATGCAATGCACTGCCTACTCTACCTACATTTGATGCTATATAACAAATTACTTCTTCTATAGTGGTGACCCTCCGTAGGCTCTAATGTTTATGTCCCATCCACTGGTAATCTCTCCGGCGTTTTGGATCTAGGAGCTAATTGCATGACAGATAAATTTTTTGCGTATTGCAATTGAGGAGTGAGTCACATGATGAATACTCCTTTTGTTAACCCCCAAAAAAATAAAATAAAAATAAATCCTTTCTTATTGCAACCATACATTTACAGAACTTACCTCCTTTAAAATCACAGTGAACGGAAACTTGACTTCTGATCAAGTGGGCATGCTATTTCATAAAGATTGATGGTAATCATCATCTGTCTATGGAGAGTGTTACTCTTGCTTTGTTTCTTTCTGATAGATATTTGTGATGCCACTAATTAATATAGGAAAAAGTTTATAGAAGGTTGTAACCTTAAAATGTAGAAGTAAAGATGTACCTCAAAAATCTATCGGAAAATGTTGTTTTAATGTTGAAAAACCCTCTAATTGATCATCTCGACATCGAGATGAATGAATATGAAAAAAAAATAAAAATTTAAGTCCCAGAAATAGTGCATCTTACAACACATTATCTAGACTGTCCATTTTCAAGATTTTCATATGTTTATAGATCTATTTGATTTTAACCTTTTTTTTAGTTTCAAAATTTATGATTACATATTAACATAGACTTTCAGATAATACTAAGAATTCATTACACCAAAATTACATATTATGATACAATTTAGAGGTGCGCCTTAATTGGATTGTTTAAGGTTGCAAACCTTATAGAAACCACGCCCATTCATTGTTTCTTCTGATTTTTTATCTGTGGAAGTGTTCTTCCAAGATTGAAGTAATAACGTGCATTAGCTGCCATTGTACTTAATAAGTTGCTTTTCATTTGAACTCAACTATCCTTTGTTGAGTTTGATGTATTCAGATCTTATCCTCTTCCTCCTAATTTCAGTTCTTGTACTATTATCATTTTTCATGGTTGATTTCTCCTCATGAGAATACAGTCCTTAACACATCTTATGTGCAAATTTTATTGTCTAGATTGTTTCCATTACATAATTGGTCTTAAATGTGCTTTCATTTTTCTTTATTTTCATCTAGGAAGTCTCTGCTACTGTTCCAAGGCTTACAAGAGAAATGTCTGGTCAATATAGTGACTTCAACATCCTTTCTTCTTTAAATTCTAAGGTGAGCTAAAATGTAGTTTGTTTTATTCCTTTATTTAATGCGGACCGCTTTTTTTTTGGATGTTCGAATGATTTCCTCATTTATTTTGGGCAGCTGTTTGAGAGTTCAGCGATTATGGACACATTTGCGGTTAAGTCTCTTCTTTCTGCATTACGAATGCTATCAAATCAGTGCATGAGAGGAAGCTTAAGCAGTTTTGGACAAAGCCCAGGTTCAAACTCAGGGGGCTACTTGCCTCCTGGATCTAGTCAGCAAATTGGATGTATCACATTTTCAGTGGAAAGAATGTTGGCTATACTTAACAATAATCTGCATAGTATGTAATTATTTTAAGTCCTAAATGTGATATCTAGGATTAAAACTCGTGATTTTCAATTCATATCTTGTTCCAATAGTTTTGTTTGCATTGAGAGTTAATAGAGCTTATAATTTAGTTCAATGGTATTGCTGATGTCTAGAAATATATGCATGTATGGTTTTCAATTGTCATAAATTAGGTACAATTTCAACAAAAGAAGTTACAGAACATGTTCTTCTAGTTATGGAAGCAGGTTTAAAGTCACATATATGTCTAGATATCCATATTGTTCCTATTCGCAGCCCCACCCACTTCTCTGACATTGTCATAGTTCACACTTAACCCGAAGAGATCCTTTTTGTTCTTGTGTGCCAAAGTGCCAATATAATGACATTTATTGCTTCGGGTTTCAGATTAGAAAACCATTATTAAATGACACCTCAGTCGCAGTGGGTGGTCATCTTTGGACTTTTTCAACCCCAATCTTTGATGTGTGCTGAGAGCACCGTTGTACCGAACCTGATATACAGAATTGATGTATATGTGATGGTTATGGACAAAAAATACTAGATTCAAAATCTAAATCAAAGGGTAGGGGAGATAACTATATTTGATCTTATGCTCTCCTTATTCTGTGAGTCCATTAAATCATTTGACTCTCCCATGAGTGTTGGAAAGAGATATTCGCATTGGAGCGATTTCTTGAATCTCCATAGAAAGGTAATGTAGCCACCAAGGGACATGACTAGGGTCCTTCTCACTGATCATGGAATTAGTTGAATCTCCTTCGACCATGAGGTTGCCCCATTCAGGGTCATATAGTTTAATTCCTGCAAGCAAAGGATGAGCTTCTGCCTTGTTGGCATCACGTACTCCTGCAGGGCCAGAAAAGGTGAGTATACTATCTCCCTCATGATTATGATGAAATCTGCGAGAACTCCCATCAAACTTAAGTTCAATGCTGTTTGGGGGTGGTGGAATCAATTTGTTTGGGTGACTTTGCTTTCTATTTGGCAGCAGTGCAATGGTTTGCAGTTGCGTATGAAGGTCTGCGTGTATGAAACCCCCAAAATCCCTTTTAAATAAAATGTATTAAGTCATGAGGATTCTGATCTTGTCTATAATGTTGTTTATATTGAAACACTTGCTCTGGAATGTCCCCTTATTTCCCTTTCCAATTGTAAGTTCCATAACATGGCTAAAGAGCAAAACTGCAGTTGTAGGCCTGGGGTTGGGTGAGGGGGAGAACCACTGCTGAAACAGGTCACCATCTGAACTGGAACATGCTTAGGATGTGACTCCATATACCATATATGCGACTTGGCAATGATTAAACTGATAATACATCATTTCTTCATTTCTGCAAATCATGTGTCTTTTGGGGATAGGCAGTTCACAATTTTTCAGATAGTTTATAGTAAGAATTTTTTTTAAAGCTAAAGGATCCGGTTTCTATGTGGCCAAGCCCGCATATGTAGAAATGCAGGCCTCTTAACAAATCTATTTTTGAGATGGATTTTAAGACTTAATTTTTAAGGACATGTAATCTCTTACATGGAGATCATGAATGTGAAACAATAAATAAATTTTTAAAATTAGAAATAACAATTCTAATACGAAAACATTTGGATGGTTGGTATCCATTGTTTTTAGATAGAACACCTTCTTGCATCCATCTTTAAGATGGATGCTTTACACTTTCTGGATCGCATATGTAGAAATGCGGTCCAGCCTGCATGAAACAATTTTCCAAAGCTAAAAACCACCAATCATCTGAATCTTTGAAACTTTGGTGGGGCTTTTTGGTCCACATCTTACAAGTTACCAACCCCCCACCATTTCATTTCAATAGTTGATCCTTGAAAAGGCCTTTTCTGGTAGGGCTCCAGATTATCATGTCTGAGCCATTCAATGATATGAAAGCATGCTGAAAGTTGTTAGGCAGGTTGTTATGGTAATCTCCTTTCTTCTTCTTTTGAAATTTTTCTGGAATTGGGGATTCCTTGCCAGTTTGCCATCGCTGCACTTATACACGTATAGATTTTGAATGTTTTAGTTGGCTGTTATCGAAGCTGTCCTCAGGCTACACTCTGCCAGTCATAGGTCTAGCCAGAGGTTGATGTGAAGGCCATTCCCATCCAAAATCTGACCTTATCAAAGTACGAATTCTGATGGAGTTTATGCCTCCTTGAGCATGTTATGGTTTTCTGATGTTTGGTGTTTCATTGACCATCCATCCTCTTTGGTTTGATTCATATCTTCATCCATGAACTTGCTTGCGCAAGTGTTTTTAGGAATCACCAAACCCCCACAGCCATTTGCGCAGCATTGCCTTGTTAGCTTCTTTGGTGCATCTGATTCTGAGTCTAACCGGCTGCTAGGGGATTCATATTAGATCCCAATTTATAGGGTGAAACTTATGGAATATTTGAGATCCTTTCCAAAGAAAATCATGCTGGAGTTTGTCAATTCCCTCCCCCCGGCTCTCTGTCTCTCTCTCTCTCTCTCTTACTTGTAAGAAAAACCCAAAAATAAAAACCCATCTCCCTGAGGGTTTGGGAACTTGGGATTCATAATTTGGAGGTTCTTGATTAGATAGGTAGGTAGTTTTTATTTGTCTTATTTTATGTGTGTATATATGTATATTTTATGTATGTATAATTTTTTTTACTATTCTATACTCTAATATGTATTTGAATTATATTATTGTATAAACTATGATCTGTGTACAATATACGGTCTACATTCCATACATATAAAATGTTATACTGCATATTGTAATAAGGTTGCCTATGGGCTGCACCATGGCTGGTCCAGGTCAGGCCTAAAAATTGATTGGGCCTGTCCCTCAGGCCTTTGTGTGGCCTGGACCTGCCTGGCCCAAGGGGTGGTCGTAGCTTGAAATCACACCCTGGACCTTGTGCTGCCTAGGTGCCTACGTCTCCCCCAATACACACATTGCATGCGATTGCTTGACAAATTCATGTTCACAAATTTAACTGATAACATACAAGGTATTTGAATTTTATATATCAGAAAAATTATTCTCTCTCATGCTTCTGAGTACATGAGATGCAGAAACATCGGGAATTTGGGACCCTGTAATTATGTTCTTGTGGTATTCTTTTGATACATGTACTTCAGCGTGTAACTTGTATCCTGGTTTTATAGGTACTCAATTACCGAGTATAAGTGTGTTACTACTTCCATTTCCTAATGGCATGTGGAACCTTCTCTATTTCTGTCTGTTCCAGATCTGAGTTGATAGTAGAACCTTAATGCTTAGATACCAACTTATGATTTGAGAATCTGTGACAATTCCTACTGTTGATATGGAAAACACCGCTAAAATGAACTAGCATTTAAAACCCAGAATCATGTTGGGACTCGCTGTGGTCTCGAGTCTGAGTCAGGCATTGAGATATGGTGGGGTCTGTGGCAAAACAAGAAATTATGGAAGGCCCAAAAGTGTGAGACTCGGGTGAGTCTTGTAGTATTTGTGTGGGACTCACCAGGGTCCGAGCCAAGTTGACTCGGGTTATTCCTGAATCAACTGCCTGAGTTTTAAGACAATGATATGAAGTGTTTGCTTTTAGGTATTCTTATGCTCTAAGTTTTTTGTGTGTGTTATCTGTATATCTGTGCTGACTGGATTTCCCATTCTTCTCCAATTCTTTCATGCTTTATAGTTTATGGATCTTATAATTTTCAATTTATCAACATATGGAACTTCAATACCTCTTACAACTATGCTGTACATCTTAATCATTTATCTCTAGATGTGTATTTCTTTTATTTCTTAAGCGTGCTTTTGCTTTTTTCTTAAATCACATGCTCAGATTTGGGTACCGTATATTAACAGGAGTGGAGCCCTTGTGGGATCATATTGTTGGCCATCTTCTTGAGGTGATGATTTTGAGATTTCATTGTGGATTTTTTCAAATCAGTACATTTCTTAAAAACTTACACCGGCAGATTCATTTTATTGTTGTGCAGCTTGCAGATGTTGCCAAATCACATGTACAGAGTATTGCACTTGATGCCCTAGATCAATCAATTTGCGTTGTCTTGGGTTCTGAGAGATTCCAAAGTGGTGATTTATCAAGACAGCAGCTAGACAAAGTAAAAACTTCTTTGATTTGTTAATATGCTTAGTCAGAATTAAGAGCCAGGGGATCTAAAATTCTTATATTAGTTCATTTGTTCAGACAGTGACAATTGATACAGAGTTGAGAACATTCGAATGGGATGTGATATCACCCCTAAAGGTTCTGTACATGTCTAGTCAAATACTTGATGTCCGTGCTGGAGCTTTAAGGATATTGTTGCATGTTTTAGAGGTAATTCAATAAATTTATGACCCATGAAATTTATATTAGCTGTAATATTTTATTGAGGAAGATATATTGATAATCTGTTTGGGATCTTGATATTTAGAGGCATGGAGAAAAGTTGTACTGTAGTTGGCCAGGCATCCTTGAAATTTTGAGGTTTGTGAACTAGTATTTATTTTATTCATTTCATCCTTGTGCACTAACTTTTAAGGTATTTTGCTTCGTTATTCTTCTGTTCATAATTATTTATGTTCTTATTGGCAGGTCTGTAGTAGATGCTTCAGAAAAGGATCTTATTCCGTTAGGGTTCCAGGTAATTCTATTTGCTCTGCAATGTGGGATCATAAAACCTTTTTGCTTTTGTTTTTTTTTTTTGGTTCTGAATGTATTGCTTGTGCTATTCTACATAAACTTATCTATATACCAATATTAGGATGAACTTTTAAATTCTGTTTAATACTTCGACTGGAGTGTGATATCATTGATAATTTATTCGATGCAAATTGATGCAAAATTAGGTATGTTTTTAAGAGTTCACACACTATTGAAACCAATCTTGTATCTTTAAGGTTATGTAATGAATAGACAAAGTATCTGATCAAAAGAATATTGTATATCTTTCTAGCCTACTTGAATCAGTAAAAAGAAGCTTTGTCCTCCTCAGCTATAAGTAGGAGTAAGTACTGCTTCTCAGCGCCACTTACTCAAAAAGGTTTGTTACCTCTGGCCTGCCCATATAAAAAAAGGCGACCTCTGATCTCACGTTGGTGGAGAGACATATACATTTAGGTGTAGTCCATCAAACTAGCCATATAACTTCTATACCCCCCAAAATAAACGCTTTAGATACGAATCCCGGAGAATTCTTTATAATCCATACAACTTCCAAATGTTCTGTTGTCACATTGCTTCCAGTAAATATGTTGCAATTGTGGCAGTTCTGGGGTTCGTTATTCCTGCATCTGTGATCCATGAGCCCAATACTATGCAGGGCTACTCAAGAAGGCCATGGCCTTCAAGCTATGTAAAATCATCTCCATGTAAGGGGTATTATATGCTGTCTCTCAGTACCCTAAACATGTTTACGGCTGCATTCAGTGGATAATGCATGTCTCATTTCTTGTGTATATATGCGTACTATCGAGTTCCATTATGTGCGTACCTTGTGTCAGTATTGCTTTTCTCACTGCATTTTTCCATGGACAAATTTAGTTTTTTGAACATCAAAAAATTGATAGTTACGTTCTCTGTTAAAAAGAGAAAAAAAAATTGGTGATCTACTGCCCTTGAATTAGCATAACGCTGAGTACTTCCAATATGTTTCTATGTTCCCAAACCAAATGATCTGACAACAAGACAGCATTTTAGAGAGTTGTCATTTTTCATTGGTCTGTGTAGAGAGTTCTGATTTTCAGTTGTCTGAAGATATAACTAGTTCCAATTAAAATAGCCATACTATGCAAGAAATCATTGCAAGTAAATTTCCTTAGGATATGCAACATCCTTCTTTTGGAGTTTGTGCATGCATGTGCGTGCTCATATGTTTTTGTGTTTACACACACATATATGTATACTAGGCTCTTGTCTGTTTGGGTTTTTAGAGGTGCATATGCACAGATGATAGGTGGCGGTGCATATGTTGGTGAGTGCACGTTGGCACATTAGTGTGCATAGGGGTCTATGCATGCATGCATGCATTTTGTGGGCTTTTGCTTGGTAGAATGTGTGGTTGTTTGTGCTCTGTCTACATGTGGGCATGTGCCCCTTGCATACATAGGAGCGTTTAAGTGTTGGATGCTTATGTGGGTGAGCGTATACACGGATGCAGGCAAGAGGCTGGAGTCTAGATGCTTCAGGCATGTCTAACAGTCTAAGGTGATTCCCTAAGGCTTATTGCATCATCAGGGTGGTGCATAGTTATTTGACTTGTAGCTGTAAGGTGCTTGTATTGACAATCTCTGGAAAGCATTGTCTGAAGAGGTTAATGCAACTGAAATTTTTAATTTTTGTAATGTATAGAAACTATTCATGGATGATCTAAGCCAAAAATTTCTGCTGGCGTATCAATCTCTGCTTTTGACTCTTTTTTGCACTTGATCTAAAAACAAACTTCTTTTTCATGCTGAAAAGCAGCCTAAAGTCAGAAGCCCTGTGGTAGAAAAAAGATCGTTTGGGCATCTTGCCATTTGATACAAGAAAGTGTGCAAATGGCTTTTTTGTCTTCTTATTTTTAACTTGGGACCTTGATAGGAATGGAACTCTAGATGTCATGTTGTGGCACCCTTCTTCCTTGATCACCCACAGAAGATTGATTAAAAATGTGATGATTCATTCCAGATGGCACCTGCTATATGCCTCAAATTTCTCTTAGTGGTTTCCTATTGTTAACTTTCTAGGAATGCTTCCCAAATAAAAAACAAAAAAACTTTCTAGGAATGCTAAGGCTAACTGTTACAATTTAAAGCAAATCTGATGTCTACTCTTGTACAAGCAAGTTTCTTCAGAGAATTACTTGCTTGTGGACAAAAATCGAGGCGTTCAAGAAAAATGTGCTGTGAATAAATTATTTTCCTACCTGGCAGGCACAAGAGCTCACAAACCCTTTAACATTTATTTTATCCTTGCAGAGTGTACGAGTGGTTATGAATGATGGGCTCTCAACAATGCCCACAGATTGCCTTGACATGTAAGATTTCCTGTATCTTCCTAGTATATTTCATTTACAAGCCTCATCGTGTTATTGCTATAGTATGTATTGCACTGCTGTGTACGTACTCACGAGTGTCGGGAAGGGAGTTCAGCAGCAACCATCCAATGCCTTTACATGAAAGATTCTCCTATGTCTTTAAATATCTTGCTTAATGTGTGTTTGTGTATTCCACAGCCTGCTTGGTCACAATTGCAGTATTATAGTTATATGCATATGAAATTACAAACCTTCACCATTTATGGATGTCAACTGAGGAAAGATTGAAATTGGTCTCATATAAGTTCACTTGCAATGCATTTAGTAGAAATGCTCTGTGCTACGTCTTCTTTGTGAAGTGATTTTCATGTTGACTGAACAAAGTGAGGTTCTTGTGATAACCATTGTACAAGAAGGTCGGAAGCTTCTTTTGTAAAGTGAAAATATAAATCCATCATGTGTGGCTACAGTTTCTGATAACATTTTCTTGTTTCAAAAACTTAATTAGTTGATTTAATGAAATATAAATTAGTTGACCACATGAATTTGAGTAAATATTGGCAACTACATTAATTTTGAAGTATTTTGGGAGCCAAGTTCTTCTGATTGCTACCAGTGGTTGTGTGTTTTCTTGTTTCTGAGTAATCATATCACAAATCTCTAGAATGGATTTAAATAATCAAGTCACTTCTTTATTCTGGCACATGAATCCCTGAGTTTTATAATGTCTTCTTTTCGTTCCTGGAGGTGTCACTAAACCATTGGCTCCTTTTTCTCTAAGATCAACTGATTCCTTATTTTGGTGAGAGATTTGCTTCAAGAGGAGCCAACAGAAGTTAAGATGGTTTCTCTACTCTTTGAACCAAAAATCATTATATTTTTACATGTTGGCTGTTTACTTGTTTTTATTTCAAGCATCATACTTGCAGTTGATGCAGCAATTTCTTTAAATCATTGTGCTAGATATGTGGGACTTGTTTGATCTACAATGAAGTATTTGTACTTGATGTATTGGTTGAATATTTTCTGCAGTTGTATGGAAGTTACTGGTGCATACAGTGCACAAAAAAGTGATATTAATATAAGCTTGACGGCAATTAGTTTGCTGTGGACTGCTACTGATTTTATTGCTAGAGGCCTGAGTTGTTTGCCAACTGAGGACAGAGAAGCAGGTTAGGCATTATTGGTGTGCCTAAAACCTCCCCAATTAAATGTCTATTTATCCTTGCAATTACTATCATTTCTGTACTTATCCAGATTTTGATGTTTGTACTGATGTACTGTTTCACATATAGGTGGCCCACCTATAGTTGAGTTACAATTGGCTCAGAAAGAGCATGAAACTCTTGGTGAACAGAGGAACGGTGGACAAACTATTACCACTACTGACGAACTCCCGGAAAGGGATTCCTTGATGGTGAACAAAATTGATTGTGATAGATTGTTGTTTCTGGTGTTCTCTATGCTCCAAAAGCTAGGGGCAGATGAAAGACCAGAGGTATATCACGCTTTCCTGATGACTTAGATCTCAACAAGTACATGATCGTATACTATTAAATGCTGACCAACATTATATTAGACAGTAATTCCATCTTCTCCATTTTTTCTATGTTAATTTAGGTGATAAGAAAGTTAAGAGACTAAACAATTTTGATACGATGATCACAATGGTGGCTAAAACAGAACATTAGTTTGCCTTAAAACGGAGCAGGTTACTGAAGATAGCTAGAACAGCTACACTTTAGCTGGATAATTTAGAATATGTGAATTGGCTTCATCTTGCCTTTGTAGCTTACAATATATTTATGGGTTGTTGCCATTATGTGATAGTTTCTTTAATATAAAATGCAATGCTTTAAAAGTCGGGCCTGCCTCGGTGCCTATAAGGTGGCACGTTATGCATGCGCCATGTAGAGAGAGAGAGAGAGGGGGGCGAAGGGAGGAGGGAGGTAGCAAGGGAGGGAGGGAGTTTACTTTTAAATTGTTGTTTGTTATTTATTTTACATTTTTTAACCCTAAAATCCCTTCCTTCACTGTTTTTGTATTTTTGGATTTTGCCGGATCTCGGATCTAGATCGGTATCGGTGGGTGGGTGACCCATCCCACCAATCCATTTTTTAAAAGCAGTGGTAACGGCCATTACTCTGCAATTAATTGGAGCTATATGATGCGGAGAAACTGAAAAACCCAAGATATGAGGGAGGGAGAGTCCTCACGCAGCTGATCCATTGAGCAATGGATGCAAGGTCAACAAGAAGTGGAGTCAGGGAGACAAAAACCTAAGTTATTATTGTGGAACAAGTGGCACAAGATGATAAGTTGGAGAAGTAGACCACCCTTGGAGCAGTACCATGAAGAAGGGGGGGATCACCACTGAAGTGAGTCCAATGCGAAAATTTGATGGCCGAACTATTTTTTAATAGATTTTGTAGAGAGAGAAGATTAATATTACTTCAACAGAATAGCAAACTGACAGCGCCGAGACAATACCATAACACACATCAAGGTCAATGATAGGCTGTTCGACCAACCTGTTCGACCAACCCCGAGATGTGGAAGAAGCTATTGTTTCCTTCTTCAAAGCCCTCTTCACAGCCTGTCCTGGCCCCATACCCAGAATGGCCGACCTCCCTTTCCTCTCACTCGTCCACCACCTGGTGGGCTGGCTTGAACGCCCCTTCTCAGAAGAGGAAATTCTCTTCACCATCATGGAACTGGGCCAAGATCGTGCTCCGGGACCGGATGGTTTCCCGGTGGCTTCTTTCAGGACCTTCTGGAGTACCTTCAGGAATGATTTCCTTTGTTTTTTTGAAGAGTTCTATAATAGAGGTATCCAAGAATGATTTCCTTTGTTTTTTTGAAGAGTTCTGTAATAGAGGTATCATTCATGAAGCTATGAATGCTACTTTCATCACTCTGATCCCCAAAATAGAAGGAGCCGAAGAGCTCAAAGATTTTCGCCGCATCAGTCTTAAATTCCATCTACAAGATTCTCTCAAAATTTTTAGCCTCCCGCCTCAAGGAGGTCCTTCCCTCTGTCATGTCCCTCTCGTAGGCGGCTTTCGTCAAAGACCACCAGATCCTAGACGGGGTCCTTGTGACCCATGAATGCATCCTCTCCCGACACCTAGCACAACTACTTGGCATTATTTTTCAAAATCGACTGGGAAAAAGCCTATGACCATGTCGATTGGGGCATCTTGGATGTGACCCTTTCTCGGATGGGGTTTGGCGACCGTTGGAGAACATGAATGAAAGGATGTTACCCACAACCTCACTTTTCCATTCTCATCAACGGATCACCCAAGGACTATTTCCTAGCCTCTAGGGACCTCAGAGAGCACGACCCTCTCTCCTCCGTGTTTGCTATTTCTGCCGAGGTTTTCAATCAATCCATCTCTCTGTCCTCAAACCAATGCTTCTCAATGGCTGATGATACGGGCAACTTGAGAGTTTGGAACCCTTCTTTTAGAAGACCTCTCTCCGATCCCGAAACCACTGATTACATTAACCTTTTTGCCCTTCTTCACTCCACCTACCTTTCCCCTAGTGGCTTGGACCAAATCATTTGGACCCCCTCCACCTCAGGATCCTTTTCGGTATCATCCTTCTATAAGAAACTGCTCATGCCACCTACTTTCCCCCTCCCCCAACGTCAATTGTCACCCAGGCTTGGTCCTCCATTGCCCCTCCAAATGTCCAAGCTTTCATTTGGATCGCCCTTTCCGAAATGGCCTTGATGGTCGACCACTTACAACAAAGAGGCCTTCCTATCCCCAATAGACGCGTCATGTGCTTAGCTGCCGAAGAAAGCAACCCCCATCTCTTCCTCCACTACCATTTATCCCAGGAACTTTGGGGAGCCTTACTCCAACTCTTTTGCTGGCAATGGGTCACCCTGCCCTCCATCCCGGCCCTCTACGGCCTGACCCATGCTAGCCCCTGGCCTAAAGCCGGTAGAATGCTGTGGCAGGTCTCAGTAGCAGCCACGGTGTGGGTCATATGGACCGAAAGAAATTCCAGAATCTTCAGAGGCGACAAATGTTCCATGTCGGTGCTCTTTAACAAGATCACATCCTCGGTCATTGTTTTGGCCACCAACCACAAGAGGTTTCAAGGGCTACCTCTCCTCAACCTTCCTCCGAAATTAGCAAAGCTGCTCCACTCCTGCCTTCCGCTCCTCTCTCAAGCTCACCATTGGTTACCACCCCCCTGGGGCAGACCAAACTCAATTTCAATGGGTGCTCTCTTGGCAATCCTGGTCCAACAGGTGTTGGTGGCATTTTTAGGGACCACAATGGTCTTACTTTGGCTTCCTTTTCTTGCCACATTGGCCATGCCGACTCCCAGTCTGCTTAGTCCCCTGGCCCTTCTTGAAGGCCTCAAGCCCTTCTTGATGGACTCAAACTATTCGACCCTATTTGGAGTCAGCCTCTTACCATCGAAGGAGACGCTCAAAGCATCATCACTTGGGCTTCCTGGTCCTCTCCTTGCCCCTGGTCACTTGCTCCAATTTATGACGATATCACTCATATTTGCAAGGATATGGTCGTCTTAGGGAGGCATACTTGGCGGGAATTCAACACCGAAGTGGATACCCTAGCTAAAGATGGAGCGCTCAACAGCATCACCTGATTTTTTGGACTTGCAGTTGTTTTATAGTTTCCTGTAATTTTGTTTATATTTATTGTGCTATCCTTTATGGAGTAGTCCCATTTTTTGTATAGGGCTAGCACTCGTTAGGAAGCCTATTTTTTGGACTAGATCCCCCAACATGTGGGTGGCATCTACTCTATCCATGTTCTCCCCCTGCTCTCTATCAATAGAACAGTTAACAGTTTCAGAAAAATATTACTCCTACCTTTTCCAAATGAAAGGATTACTTGCACCTTCAGTTTGTTAGAAGACAATATAAACTTTGCCAAAGCCATTTGTACCGCGTAAATGAACTTTGCCATGCGGCCAGACCCCCCCCAGCTTCCTGGGTGCTGCAAGGCAAACTTTGATACACTGATAAAATGGATTTGATTGTTTCTTTGTTGTAAAATGATATTCAATTTCTCCTGAGAAAGATGTCTTCTAGACACATGTTTTTTTTGCTCAAAGAAGGCTTACATTTCTTGTAAACATATGCAAAATTGGCTCTTAGCTTTCTTTTTCTATCTTACTTGCACATTTACTTTTTGCAGATTCTTTTCATAATTTGAAGCTTCCCATATTTTTTATGGTTACATTTGCCAATCCTTAAATCTCACTACATCATGCATGATTTGTATTTCATAGTTTTATTAGGAAATGCATGGGGAATGGATCTATTATGCACATTATCTCACTTTATTCATATCACTACGTTTGTGAGAATGATATGGGTTCTGTGTTTGTTACCCCGCCACATATGCATGAATGTGTGCTTGTGTGTGACATAGGTTGCTCAAGCTGATTGGCCTTTTCTACTGTAGTGTTTATTTCAATAGGCAAGGCAAGATGTTCTGTGACATTCTGGCCAGTAGGAATCCCTGGATATCATGCTCTGTGATTTTGTCCTTTGTTTCTCACGTATATGTCGTTCGGTTATATGCCTAATATGCTTAACTGCTAATTTGGTTGTGTTTCAGGTCAGAAACTCTGCTATTCGGACACTTTTCCAGATACTAAGTAGCCATGGACAGAAACTATCTAGGGTTAAGTGGGAGGATTGCCTATGGAAATATGTTTTTCCTATTGTTGACAGTGTTGCCCATTTGGTAGGTTTACATGCTTGGGACAGTGTCAGTTATTTACTTGTTGCCTCTGCATTTTGCATCTAAGCATGTAAACTGCATCTAAGCATGTAAATCTTTCTTGTTTATCACAGGCGGCATCTTCTTCTAGAGATGAATGGCAAGGGCAAGAATTAGGAATACGAGGGGGAAAAGCAGTCCACATGCTTATACATCATAGGTAATAACAAGAATCAGTTTATAGACATTCAATATCCCTTCATTCGGTTGATAGGTTACATGTGTGCTAAGGATGGCTTCTTTTTTTGGCTTTTTTACTGCTTGTTTCTGCAGCCGTAATACTGCTCAGAAACAATGGGATGAAACCATTGTACTAGTCTTTAATGGAATATCTCGTCTTCTCCGCACATTCTTTCCTTTCCTTCAGAGCTTGAGCAAATTCTGGATAGGTGGATCCCACACTTTTTAAGTTATTTGTTTCGAATCAATCCGATCTCCTTCGTGTTTCTTTCTGGAAAGTTTAGGAGTTTCTTTTTTACAGGCTGGGAGTCTTTGATTCTTTTCGTTAGAAGTAGCATTGCAGGTGGTAGCAAAGAGGTTGCTCTAGCAGCTATAAACTGTTTGCAGACAACCGTTCTTTCTCATTGTTCAAAGGTAACTATGCATTTCTACAATTATTCTTCAAAGTTTTTATATATATTGTTGTTTTCTATGGTGTGGCTTTGTGTCACATGGCACATTTAAGCTACATATTCAATGGGTGTTGCAGATCTTATCAATTAGTTCCATTCTGATTGGATTAAGAAATTTGAATCATGCTATCTTATTTTAATTTCCTATTAAGGAAATTGTTTCTGTGATGTTCATCCCATGGGAAAATGTTGTGGTGTAGGGAAACCTGCCAATGCCATACTTCAAATCAGTTTTCGATGTCTACGAACTTGTTCTTCAGATGTCCTTAAATTGTGAGAATACCATCCCAAGCAAGGTGAAGCAGGAGATATTGCACAGCCTTGGTAATGCCCCAGTAACCTATATTTTGTTCTCTAATCTGTATTCCATATTGTGTATTTGGTACCTTGTTCTTTTTTTTAATGCTCATTTGTTCGTACATTGCTGGCAGGTGATCTATATGTCCAAGCACAAATTATGTTTGACAATGATATGTACTTGCAGTTACTTCATATATTGCATCTGGCAATCAGTATCAGTGATAGCATGGAGGCTGATTCTGTAAGTTGTAGATTGAATGTTATTGGTATAGTTCAGGCTAAGCTTTTTGAACATACATCTTTCTTGTTTGGTTATACAAAATTTTCTTATCATTGTTGCATCCTTGAAAATTAGTTTCTTCAGTTGATTGCCTTGTTCATGTAAAACAAACTATTTCTTTTTTCTTTTTCTTTTTTTTTGAAAATTGTGTATTTATTGAATGCCCAAGCATTTGTTACCTACAGGGGAACATTCCAGCAGTCCAACGCACCATGCTAGAGGTCCTTCCTGCCCTGCACCCGAACGAAAGATTATCTCCAATGTGGTCACATCTTCTGCGGCAGTTGTTATGTTACCTTCCTGGATCTGAAGCTTCTTTGCCTGTAAAAGCCAAAGGAAATGAGCAAGCTGGAAGTATACTATGTTCATCTGGAAATCAACATGAATCTAGCATTTTAGAAACACATAATGCGAAGGATTTGAGAACTGCCCTTAATGGAAGCCCCAAGGCAGAGAAGTTTGATTCTTCCATTGTTGCTTCTGGTATTTCCTGTAAAATCTCAAAAATGCAGGTTTCACCGTCCTCCGCACCTATGACTTATGATTCTACTGCTAGCAATTCAAATCATTTGTTCGGTGAAAAGCTTATACCTGTTCTTGTGGACCTATTCCTACTTGCTCCTAGAGTTGAAAAGTGGAAGGCATTCCCTGAAGTAATACAAAGTCTTGGAAGGTAGCAAACTTTAATTCTTATTTGTTTCCATTGAATGAAAGGTGTAGCTCTGTGAATTTCATCAAAAGAATGCCATGACTTGCACAAGTGATGTCCAGCTCTGTACCTGTTTGGGCTGGGCACTCTGACATTTCAACATCGGTTTATGCTTAAGCCAAATTTGTTGGAAATCTAATCAAAAGTGGCCCAGCTTTGTCCTATAAAATTTAGTTTTCTCATGGTTAAGTATCTGAAAGGATAAATGAGGCTGACATGCTCTTATCTCTTACTTCTCAAAAGTTTCTTTACATATCGCAGCCAACTTTCCTGTCTAGTCAAAAGTTTTTTACTTGGAAAATTTTTCCCGTAGGTGTTTAAAATGGTAGAATTATACACATAGGTTTTGAAAATAAGATTTCTTCAATAATATTTCTGAATCAGCATTACCTTCAGTACTTTTTTGGTGCAGGATGTGGAGCTAACAATTACCTGCATCCATGTATGCTAACTCTTAAGATCTTTTTCTCTTGTATCTTTTCGGTAGGTGTATGGCCACAAGAAGAGATACTGCTGATGGTTCTCTTTGGAGATTAGCTGTCGAAGGATTCAACCGTGTTCTTGTAGATGACGTGAACTCTCTTCATTTCGATCACAAGATTGATCCCAGCATCAGCAAGCCTATGAGGACCCGCTGCTGGAAAGAAGTGGCAGATGTGTATGAGATATTTCTAGTGGGTTCGTGTGGGCGTGCTCTTCCTTCTGATGTCCTTTCTTATCCTACACTAAGGGCTGATGAAACTCTCGAAACAACTGTTCTGAATGTTCTATGTGATCAGATTCTCAAGTCTAGTGTCGATGCTCCTAATGAAGTAACCTTCGTGCCGCATTGATTTCTTTCTGCTGCTTTCTTTTCCTTTTGGAAGGTCTATCATAATGACTAGTGCAGAGATGTTTCCTGAGACTCTCTGTAAACTTTGATTTTCTGAGAAAATCCCAGAAAAAATAAGAAATGTGTTTCTAATAGGATAATTTGGGAACTTTGTAACTCTTTAACCTTGGGAAAATCTAACATTCATATGTGTACATAAACTGGAGATTTTTGTCACACTGCATTTACCAGTGCCAGTGTTGACTCTTATTTTTACTTGTCTTCTAGTTATGGATAAGTTTTTTAGGAAAACTAATTGTGTATATATCATTCTCAGATTTTGCAACGTTTAATCTCAACATTAGACCGCTGTGCGTCCAGGACAGTCTGTTTACCTGTTGAAAGTGTGGGGCTCTTGCCTTTTCATTGTAGCAGATTCTCCTTGGCTTGCTTACAGAAAATATTTTCGCTGTGCAGGTATGTCATATCTCTTTGAAGGTTCTATTGCAGAAATGTGCAATTTCCTTAGTCATCTTTCCTAGAGAATTACCATGAGCCATATGGCTTTCTCTTCTTAATCTATGAACTTCATGAGATTTTTTACTTATAGGCACTGCTTATTTCAATGCCCCCTTCTCTGTCTTTTTCTGGAGTTAAGCAACCACAGTTTTCCTTTTCAAAGTAGGAAACCTATTTGATTTTGAAGTTCACTTCTACATGTATTAGACTTAGGTTTATGGGGGTGTGTGGTTCATTTTTGTAGTTTTGTTCTCCATACCCTCTCTGTCTTTTACCGTATTTTGGTTCCTTCTAATGAATTTCAGTATTGAGCAGCCATTTTCGACTCCTGTTTTTTTCCTTATTTAAAGTCTAGGAATAGTCTCAGCTCACCTCCATCCTTCTGAGAATCTGCTCTCTTTTTTACCCTTTTTTTTTTTGAATTATCATTTGATATTGAAACTCAAAGCTCGTGTCAGAGATGGATGGCTCCATACTATGACACCTAGGAGCTCGAAATGCCTTTTATCCATTTGACTGTAAATGAATTGGTCAAGTTCATGTATCCTTACCTGATGCACTTTCTATCACTGTCCTCTAAAAGGAAATTTTAATTGCAGTTGTGATCCTGGAACTGATTGGCACTCTACCAGAACTGAAGTTGGGAAGTGTGCAATCACTGTCCTGATGAACAGATGCGAGTTCATGCTACAAAGGTTTCTGATTGACGAGAATGTCTTAGGTATGGATGCAGTCAATTCTGCTTGCTATAAACTGTTGAAGGATCCAGTGTTTTTGAAGCATGTTCTAAGCACAAATATCTCTAGTTTCTTGAGCATCTTGATTTTTTTAAGAAACGATATTATCTTCAAACTCGTGATATTCCATGATACTCTCAAACCATTTATTTATTTATTTATTTTTCCTTTTGAAATTTGGACTGCTCTTTATTTGTCCCAAGATTTTTCTGTTTTTTATATTTAAATCATCCTCTCAATTATTGTCCTGACAGTTTTCATCAAACACAATTTGTAGCCAACTTTTGGCTAACCTAGCCTCCTTTGTCCCTCAGGATGTACAATTCATTTGTCTTTTCTGGGCAGTTATCTTTTCATTTGTTTTGTATAAGAAAATAACAGGGAACACTAGAAAAGAAAGTGAAGAAGCTTAGATTGTGAAGTATAAACCGATTCATGAATGGTTAGATTCCACCCATGCTTCAAATTCTCCTCAGATCATGAATATTGAGAAATTTCTCAAGTCTTAAATCATCTTTTGGATTCGACAGAGATATTGTTATTATTAACCCAGCTGCATTTCCCCAACAAACTGGGTGCCTCTCTAGTAGCTCCAAATAAATCAACGGCATGCATCTCACTCAACAACAACAAAAGTACAACCATATCTTAGAACAGAGCACTTGATTTCAGGCTAAATCATATATTCGGGATGGTGCAGGTGAAGCTCCTGTACCCTCAGTGAGAGTGGTGGAGGTGGTCTTTGTGCTTCAAGAGCTTGCACGGCTCGTTATTCATCCAGCTATGGCCTCTGTTCTTCCCTTGCCAGCATATGTGAGAGAGCGAGCATCACAAGACAAGGACCGTGAGGGCTGTGCTCATCTGCTTGTAATATTTCCATCGCTCTGTGAGCTTGTTGTTTCAAGGTTTGTTTGCATTTTACTGTCTCTACATGTGTGTGCGTGCATGTGTGAAAGGGAAACAGCTGCATCTCAAAAGCCTGCTAGAAAACCTAGTGATAGTCTGAAAATCCATTTTTCTTGACTATGGAATTTGAAGTTCCAAAAATATGCAGATCTTATGGATCAGTGAAAGGCTTGAAATGAATGGTATAGTAAAAGTCTTCTACAATTGCACCATTTTAGGGCTTGAAAATTATCTCTCTTTAGATCCATGATCATCAAGCTGGAGATGATGGATTTGTAGGTTTTTTGGGGCTGGGAATGCTTTTCCAGTGTGATCTTCATAATGCCGTGGCTTTATGAAGCAACACCCCCATCCTCCCAAACACACAGAAACACAAGACACAAGGCACATAAACCCCCCTCCCATAAAGCCATAGATTAATATGGCAGACATCCCATATTCATACATATGCTAATCCTCTGAACAAAGGGTTAGTTATGTAGTATTGACTTTGAGATGGTCTCGTATTTCTTTTTAAAAATATTGGTTCTGTACTACAGAGAAGCAAGAGTAAGAGAGCTGGTGCAAGTATTACTAAGGCTAATCACAAGGGAGCTGGGCTTGCAGAAGCTGAACCTAAGTGGTTAGATGCTTTAACGATGCGTGGGTCAACATGATCACTACATGTTTCAGTCCCCAAAAATTTCCAGTCTTTGTGGACTTCGAGCTCTCACTGTTCTTTTTTGAGGGAACCGTATTCATTTTCTTATTTGTTTATCTTTGCATTTCTTGTAAAATATCAGTTCGAATTGCCCACAAATTTGTATTTAAAAGCACTAGATAGAAAGGAAATGACTGTTGTAACCATTTTTTTGAACTAAAATTTCGTGTATTAGTTGAAAAGTATTTGTATGATTGAAAGCTGCTGACCATGTCTGAGCAATCTTGTCCAAATTGTATCTAAAATGTGAGATATCAGGCACCTGTGAAGAGTGGTTTTGGTGGTTTGACAAGAGTATGGTCGAGAGAGTACCCACTCTTGGCTTAAATCGTTTTTTTAAATATCTTTTAAAAAACTTAGATTTCTTAACGGGTTTCAAAAAATCTAGAAGCGATAGTTTCCAGTGCCAGAAAAAAGGACGCATTCCTTTTTTAGCCAGGCTGGCCACAGAGGTGATTAATATTTTCGATCGTCGAAAATATCAAACGGGCCAATTTGATATTTCAAATATCAAATTTAATATTAATTTTTATTTCTTAATGTTTTCCATGATCGAAAATTTCAAATGGGCCCTATTTATAGCGTGTCCAACGATTAAGACAGCAAATCGCCCATACCCGAGTCTTACTCTGAAGTCTAGACTGCCCTTGGCTTCAAACACTGCTCTTGCCATCAAGTGATCAGAAGTCGAACATTCAAGTGATCAGATGTCTTATAACATTTGAGTGTGAAACTAGACAAACGTAATCATCATCATCTTATCTTTTTTCAATTAATTGAAGTCGATTTTTCAATTAATGGTTGAGATCGACTAGATTGACTATACGAATTTTTCAATTAATTGAAGTCGATTATACAAATCTTGATTTATTTTCTGTTCTCTAAAAAAACCATAACCTTGCTGTATTAAAAGCCTCTTAAAAACCATAGCCTTGCTGTATTAAAAGCCATAGAGTCTTACCTTTTTGAGTCTTTACCTCTCGCCCTTCGAGTCCTTCCTCTAAATCAAGGTAACCAATAAAAACAAAAAACAAAACCGCCGAGCCAGCCTGTGCCGAACGAGGCTCAGCTACATACCCATATGCGAAATCAGTCGAGATCTGAGCCATCCAGGTGAAAAAAGGCAAGTTTGTACCCGCTGTTTGATACATATTAACGCCTTTTCGAGACCTGTAATGCGTTTTGGAGACGTCTTCAAGACCCGAGAGGGCGACTTTTTCCTTTTAATAGAAAGATACCTAGAATTACACGTGGTCGTTTCTATAGGGTTGCAACCTTAAACCATCTACGAGCACTGCAAATTTTATCATAACATAAAATGTAACTTTGTTAAAAAAAATTCTCAAGACCATCTCAAAATCTATTTTTTTATATAAAATTCAAAAATTCTCAAGACTCTCAAAATCTATTTTTATATATAATTATAAAATTTTGAACTCCTGTTAAAATCAAGTAGACTTGTAAAACAATATGAAAATTTAAAAAATGGACAGCCATATTGCAAGATGCACCTTGGACAGCCTACATAAATATAAAATTAAAAACTTCTCAAGACTCTCTCAATCTATTTTTATATAGAATTATAAAATTTTGAACTCCTGTTAAAATCAAGTAGACTTGTAAAACAATATGAAAATTTTGGACAGCCTAAAGAACATACAAGATGCATTATATCTGGGACTCTGAAATCTTCTTTTTTATGTTTTATATTTCTTTTTTATGTTTTATATTCATTCATTTCAATGTCGATATTTTTCAACATTAAGACAAACTTTTTTCGATGCATTTTTGAGTTGCATCTGTAATTCTAAAATAAGGTTGCAACGTTATATAAACTTTCTCCTTACATGAGTGTGTAAATTTATCTTCTCGTTAAGACGGTCTTTCTGGAGCATGTTGAAGCGTTCATTGATGAGGTAACCGAGGGAAAAGGAAGTCGAGAACCATTCAACAGAACATATCCAAACATTCCCATTAAACAACAATGGCATTGCAACCACATGCATACACAAATACTAAGAAACCTCAACCTCCTCTCTTCTACTCCTATTAACCTACACTCAAATGTACCTTCTCTAAGAGAAACAAAGACATGAAAGGTGAACCATTTACAGATCCCAATAAGAAACATCTTTAAACGAGAGAGCATAGATAGAAGCCGACGATCAGTCCGACTCGTTGATTCTCGCGGCTGCATCGACAGAGGCTGCAACGCCCCCAGGATGAGTGGTGAGCTTGGGATTGTTTCGCATCTCAGCCGCTGCTATCCTCTCGGCGTCCTCCCATGTCACCGGCTTGTCTGCTGGCAACTTCTCCGTCGCCGCCTGGATACAGAGAGCGAGAGATCATGTAAGAAGTAAGAGAAACAACACCCAAAACAAATAGAGTATCATACCTTGAGCACATCGCCGAGCGTGGTCTTTTCCTCATCCCTCTCGGCCCCCGCATTTGATGCCACTGCAGACTGCGCTGCGGCCGCCACTCCTCCCACTCGCCCTCATCTCCGCCTCCTCTATTGCACTTGCATCGCTCTGCTCCACTACCTTGTGCCCCGCAGTCAACCCTGTGGCCTCCAATGCCTCCCCTATTGTCAACTTCCCTTCTCCTAAATCCCCAGCCCCTTGCCTTAACTCCCCGCCACCCTGCACGTCCCCTGTCCGCTCCCTGAGCTGCCCAACACCCTGACTGAGAGCCTGTGCAAATAGCCTAACAACCTGCCCTCCGACCGACTCCACAACAACACGTCTGTCCGGCAGCTCAGCCTCGGCAACAGTAACACCCTGGCCTTCACCAACAGCAGAAAACTCTTCGTGGGCGACAGCGCCGACAGCTTCGTTGCGGTCCGCAGCACTATGCATGGTGGCGGCGGCGGCACCACCTTTCTGGGTCAGACCAAGAACCAAGCCTTCAGCAGACTGCATCATGGCAGCATCTCTAGGGGCGACGGTCTGGTTTGCGTGGTCGCCGGAAACGGGGAACGCGTCGCCGTATTTTATGGGTCTCTGAGGTTGCCCCTGACTCATGGCTGAAAACTTTGGAACCAGGATTTACCGAAATTTGGCTTTACTTTATTTCGTTAGTTAGATATTGGCCTTGTGGGTCAGATTCCGGCAGCGTTTCCTCCAGTTGTGGGTCGGATGCAGTCTGAAAATAAAGAGGGAGATGATGTATTTTAAGGACATTGAGTCGCCTCGTACATTGAGTTATTTAAACTTTTGTTTATGCGAAAGTTGTGATAAGTCTTGTTAGGGGTTTGACAAGTGGTAAAGGAGGTTACAGCTGAGACGATGCATGGCTGATGACGTGTTGTGCATGCTAGAGCTGGAGCAATGTAAGCTGGTGATGAGGATTGAAATTTGAGAAACAAATGTAAAGCAAGAAGCAACCCTCTCATAGTAAAATAAATCGCACTTTTGAACAATTATGTAAGTTAACAACCCTCTCATAGTAAAATAAATTGCACTTTTGAACAATTATCTAAGTTAAAATGTATTTATTTGATTTAGATTAAATGTATATTTTGTATTAAAAAAATTCTATATAAGGTTGCAACGTTAAACTGTACCACGTAAGTGTATTTAAAAATTTTATCATAAAAAGTTGTTTTGATACTGGAAAACCGTTTAATTGATCATCTCAACATTGAGATGGATGTTCAAATGGATGAATATGAAAAGAAAAAAAGATTTCAAGTCTCAAAAATAATGCATCTTGCAATATATTATTTGGATCGTCCATTTTCAAGATTTTTATATGGTTATAACCATACTTCATTTAAACTATTTTTGAAGTTTATTATAATTCGAGACAAACTTAAATTCTCAAGCCATCCTAAGAATTTTTGACACCAAAATCACATTTACGATAAAATTTGGAGGGGCATCTTAATTTGATTCTTTGCGGTTGCAACCTTATCATAGACACTCTGATCCAGATCGAGAATACTTTTCCCTTGCGGTTGCAACCTTATCATAGGCACTCTGATCCCAATCGAGAATACTGTAGGAAAAGCAAAGTACCCTTATGACAACTACCTTCAAACTTGAACGATCCATAACCCCAAGGACCGTACCCTAGTACGCGAACCACCCGACAGAGTCTGTCATAAGGACCCGACCTTAAATTTGGAACTCTAGAAGACAACCCGCCAGGCCAGGAATAACTCCAAGATAAAAAAAAAAAATATATGAAGTAGACAGTCCAAAATCAAAGAAGACTTAATTAGGGAGCAAGTACATTAGGAGCCACGCTAAGTCAAGGGCTCGGGATCTCCTGGCTACAGTAGCACAACCGTCAACGACGTACCCAGTCAGTCAGGTTGCATAGGCGGTGGCTCGAATCACTGAATTCGCACATCAACTAACACCTTAGAATGCGGATACTGAAAAGCGATGATTACTACTAAACGACACAGGCAGTGTCGTTAACGCCATTAGCATGACGACGTCCAGTTTAGTTTTGATTGATTGCTTGAGATTGCTACCAATTGCCTAACATCGAAAATGTATGAATCGCAGTGAAGATTTACCTATAACGAGGGTAACACTTCCGTCAACACACACTGACACCAGCAGCAACGAGGTTATCAGTTGCGTTAAAGAGGCCGGTGCTTGTGATGGCAATTAACCATGCAGATTTGATCCCAATTTTTAAATGTGATGGGGGTGGGTAAACCCCCTATTTTAGGGATTGAATTTTGAATCGGATGCCCACCGATCAGACCCGTACTGACCTCAGACTCCTAGGTTAAAACTCGACCCCATACACGTAAGTACCTGGTACTCGCATATCCACGCCCCTAAACCTCATTGGTTTACATTTGCCAAGCTCGACAAATCCCAAAAGTCTCGGTGACAGTCATGCACCTAAATTGGTCCTGAACCGGCACCAACTTTAGGCACTGGGCCTGGGGGCCCGACTTCATGTATACCTCACTTTTCCTCCCTTTTGCGTATTTCCTTTTTTCAAATTTTAAAATTATTTTTAAAAAATCTCCCTCTTCTTTTTACCCCGATTTCGAAACCTTCCTTTGGATTTCCAATTCAACATCTCCAAAGCTGGCTCTGTCGGCAATTCAAGTGAGGGAAGGTCTTGTGGCCTTTTTTTCTCCCCGATTGTAATTTGACGGGACCCAATCTTCGATGAACTCATCTCTGGTGAGTTTATGCTTGAAAACCAAGCAGGGGCCACGTTTCCTACCGAAATTTTAATTTTAGAGCATAAACACTTATGCAAACCACATTTATTTTCATAAATAATCTAAATTATAAAATTTAAAAAAAAATGTCGTTTTTGTAAGGTTGCATTGTTAAATAATCAAAGTAAAGTGCATGGGGATGAGACCGACTATGTAATAGTGAGAGGCTTTCACCATGCATATTAATGCAAAATTTGGGCAAATGTGGCTTCCTAGTCTCCATAAAAAAACCATCACGATGGATTTCCTTTGAGTTTCTAGATGAATTTCATTTGGCTACATAACATGTATACTATGCCCCGGAGGGAGCATAATTTGCATTTACCCCTCGGACAAAAGAGTTATTGAGGAGATTTTCTTTGATATGAAATTGTCGGGACTACTTTGAAAATCATTTTGAATACCTAAACTGTTAGATCTTAAAATCCAAAAATTAGATGACGGACTCCATTCAAATCTTTGAACCTTATTTGATCAAGCCTTTTAAGCTTTTCCTTTTTTTCTTCTAATTTTCTTGGGGTTGGTCAGTAATGAGATTAAGTGGAAAAAGTTGAGGTGGTTACGTTCCCAAAACTCAGGGTCCTAAAAATAACCCCACAAATAGTGGATGGAATATGTGCTCCCTTGTGATAATATAAAGACCTAAGCTTTATGAAAATAAAGTAAGGCGTAACCTCAGTCCACATCCCAAAAGCAATCTGGGCATCAAAGATCTCCATCTAAAATCAATTTTCAAAACTGATTATGAAATTTGAAGTTTAAAAATATACTTATCAAATTTCAATACCAACTATGAAATTTGAAGCTTAAGAAAAAGTACAGATCTATCAATTTTCAATACCGACTATGAAATTTGAAGCTCAAAAAATGATACAGATTTTGCAAATATGTGGTGAACACTTATTTTTAGGGTGAAATAGACGGTCTCCATAGTGTTCTATAATATTACATTGTTTTTAAAGTTTGAAATCTAATTTTTTTCTCACAACCATATTGGCCAAGGCCAAAATGGTTGATTTGAAAGTTTTTCAACTGCAATATTTGATGAGTTTTAAAGTGAAGCTTTACCTATTTGATAGGGCTGCAGCCTTGTCAAAACAGTTTCCTATAACTCAAAAAAGCAAGCGTTAGAAGTATATAATTAGTTACCCCTTCAAAAGAGAATGTCCTCTAGGTGTAACATCCAATCGATTGTCTGTTTGTTGCTTTCATTTTTCACCTAATCTCATTAATTGTTGGTTTAGAAGGAGTGCAAAATGCAAACAAGCTTTATTGGACCCCTTAATTTTAGGTCTCAAAATTTAAAGAGACAACCACTCGCTTGGAATTTGCTCGAGAGCATTGTGCACCAATCAAGAACCTGATAACGAACAGATTGAAATTTGCATCACAACCACTGAGGTTTAAATTAACTAAATGAAGAAAAGAAGTAACAACCAGTGTTTCAAAAATCATGGAGCCCATTCAAAATTGCCTTGCCTTGGTTGTCTCATGATCAAATCCAAACCAAACCAAACCAATACGATTTCTAAAGCACTCATTCCAACAAATGCCTTAGTCCTAGAATGGGTTCCTTTCTCTTTAGCACTCATTCTAGCAAAATGACTTTAGTCCTAAAATTGGTTTCTTTCACTTGGTTTGAAACAAATACTCAAAATTAAGTGGTTTCATCTCTTGCCTTTCCCAAGCACATGAAGTAAATCATAGCTTACTAAAGTTGGTGCTCATAGTAGAAGGCTAGGACCTAGGAATATTCGTCCAAAAACAGAAAAATATAGTGACCTTGGAATAAAGTCCCTTTTCCAAGGTGCCAAATGGCTTTCTTTAGTGCATGAATTAAATGAGCCAACTCCCTCGCTCTCTCCTCTCTCTCTCTTTCTCTTTCTCACTCAGGGGGTGAGAAAGATGGATTTTTATTCAAAATTTTAGGGATTCACGCAAGCTGATCTTAAATATGACCAAAAAAAAAGGAAATTAAACTTTAAAAGGTCATTTTCTTGGAGAAGTTTTTGGCACCGACCATATCTGATTTGACCTCGTGCACTTTACATAATGTTCATCTTTTTTTATCCAAAATTATGGGGACTCATCACCTAAGCCCAGCTGATCTTAAATTAAATATGACAAAAAATAAAATAAAAATTGAACTTTAAAACGTGGTTTTCTTAAGGATGTTTTTGGCACCTTCCATATTTGATTTGACCTGTAGGCTTTACACAACGTCTATCTTAAAGACGGACGTTAAAGAGTCAGTGGGCTCTTGACTCATAGTGCACTTTTCTCTTTCTAATATATAACGAAAACTTAAATGTCAAAAACCACAATCCATCTTCCTAGCTTTAACGCATGACCTCTACACTGGGGGTAATCAGGGTAATGCCACAACATGTTGTTTAGACTCTCATTCCAATCAAGATCTAGCGTTAACGTCCATTAAATAAAAAAGTACGTTATCAAAGTCACTATCAATTCTTTAACTAGCTATTGATATTTTCGATTTTTTTTTTGGGCAAGTCAATGCGGATGATGAGCACCTCCTCATTTTTTAATTTTTTTTTTTTTTTTTTTGAGGTAAGTAAGTAGGGATGACGTGCCCCTCTTCATTTTTAAATAATCTATTTTGAAATATGTTAGTGAGAATAGAGTTCTAGACCTTTAAGTGGGGGTTTAGGTGGCACTACCTCAACCCCGTTTTATTCCTTTTTGCTATTTTAAAGTTATTTCCAGGTAAGTATATGTTTCTCTTCAAATTGGAATTACTAATTTTACCAATATTGTCATATTCGTTTCACTTCGGTTGAAGATGTTGAAGTCTTTAGATTTTCGGCTCTAGTAAAAACGAAATGAAGCGAAGCTTTGGTGTTTCTGCTTCGGCATGCTTCGGTTTGATTCGGTCTCTTCAGCAGAAACTTCAACCCCTTTCGCCGAAGCACATAATTGTCTTTCAAAAAGATAATTATGTGCTTCAGTTTGATTCGGTCTTTTCGGCGGATGCTTCAGCCTCTTCAGCCGAAGCACATAGTTGTCTTTTTTAATTTTTTTATTTTTTTAAAAAATATGATTTTAATTTTTTTAAACATCGATTTGCATATTATTTATATTAATTTTTAAAAAAAATCCAATTCTTCCTCTAAATTAGCTGAAGCACCAAATTGCTTCTGACCAAAACATTGTTTATATTAATTTTTTACATTCTTATTTTATCGTGATAAACACAAGTATGAAATTATTGTCCCGGATTAATTCCATGCACATATTATCAAAGTTGCTATCATCATTAAAAACTCATCGTGATCAAATAAATATAAATTCAATTTATCAAATACAATTGTCACTAGAATTAAAATTGAAGCTGCTATGTTCTTTGTATCCTACGAGGATAGATAATGCCAAAAGATTTCATGCTCCCGAGGGACCATCCTATCTATTTACTCCGTCGTCCACAGCCCAATTTAATAGAATATTTACGACCCTAAAATTTAGGGATGTACATGATCAACCCATTTGATACACTCATTAAAAAAATTTCCAAATTGCATTCACTATGTGTTTGAAAATAAAAAAATGCCTAGAGATTGAAGGTGCGAGCTAGTACAACTCAATAAATTCAATTTTTTTCTTTTGAATACAATCATCTATTAATTTTAAGGTGGTTCCTAAAATCTTGGATCAATAAAATCATCCCAAATTGGTCTTATGCCCAAGGGAGGAAGTATCAGTACACTCCCGCAGGATCATAGTCTATGCATTTATATATAAAAATTTTATACGCAAGTTTGCACAAATAAGAAAAACTACTCTAGGCGCTAAAGGAAAAGTGAAAGAATTTACATTTTCACATTAAACTGAGAAGAAGACCCAAACCCACCAACCCAATAACCAATGGACAACACCACATGCAAACAAGTATGAAAGAGTCAGTGAAACTCAGCCTCACACCAGCTCAGTAAAATTACACAAGAAGGAGGGCACTTCAACCCTCACATAAAACATGAGGAGGAGCCTCAACCCTCCATCAAAAGCTAGCTACCAATCAACCAAAGCACACCTTAAATGCCTCACTTTTAAACAAGCCTCACATAGGCCATATAGGGCACCACACCACACCACACCACTCAAAAAAAGAGCCACAAACCCTCCCATTCACCAAAGCCATGCACCAAGTTTTGCACACTGCATGGTGCGTCCCCGGCTGGGTCGAGGCCCTCCTCGCCCTCGCCTGTTTCCTCAGCCTCCACTACTTTCGCCAACGCAAGGAACCTGTCATCGATTGGCCCATCCTGCACCATCTCCCTGCCCTTCTCATCCACCTACCCCATGTCCACGATTGGACCACCTCGATGCACAGCGCTATCGGCCCCACCATACCGATCCTCGGCCCAATCTTCTCGAACATGGACAGAATCATAACTTGTGACCCTCAAAACCTGGAGTACATGCTCAAAACTCGATTCTCTAACTTCCCGAAAGGAAAACTTTTCCATGACATGTTTGAAGAGTTTTTAGGAGATGGCATCTTTAACATTGATGGTGATGCATGGGAGGCTCAGCGACGAACTGCAAATTCTCATGTGCACTCAAAGGGATTCCGATCGTTTGTGGCCGCGACCAGTCGTGGGCTTGCAAATGACCGGCTTGTGCCCCTTCTTCGAAAATTTGCTACTGAAGGGGCGGCCATAGACTTGCAGGAAATCATGATGAGGTACACCATGGACACGGCCTGTGCTGCAGTGTTCGGGGAGAGTGTGGGGTGTTTGTCGGAGGGGTTGCCAAATGTGCCATTTGCAAATGCGATAAACGACGCTATGCAGGCAGTGACTGTGAGGCATGTGTTGCCCACAGCATGGTGGAGGGCGATACGGTGGCTGGGGCTCGGAATGGAGCCTCGGTTGGAACGAGCGGTGCGCACTATGGACGAGTTTGTGGCCCAGCAGGTGGCTCGAAGGAGGCATGTGAGCAGCGGTAGAGGAGGCGGGGACTTGCTGTCAGTTTACGCGGCCACTAAAGCTAGCAAGACTGACAGGTTATGATTTTCTTCTTCTTTTTTCAATTTTCAACTACATAGAAACTTTAGGTTTTCATTCTAGAGCCTCGTAGGGTTTTGCACTTTGATAAAGCAAAATAGCGGATTAGGATTCGTATAGCCGACCTCAAATAATTAAAAAAAAAAACTCTTATGCTGACAATGTGGTTTTTATTCTTTTCATTCTAGGGGGCCGAGAGCTTTTTATTTGAGATCGACTACCCTTAAATAAAAAAAATGGCCATAACTCTATTCATGTAGCCGACTCTAAATAATAGTTGTATTTAAAGCTTTTTATTCTTCCATTCTAGTCAAAGAGCTTTAATAATAGTTGTATTTAAAGCTTTTTATTCTTCCATTCTAGTCAAAGAGCTTTCTATTCTTTCTATGCTTGAACAGAATAGGTCTGCCCCAGCTTTCTATGCTGTCAGTTCCTCTTATGGTGACGAAGAGGTTTTTCAAAAAGGGAACCATAGACAGCAGACCTATTCTTTTTTATTTGGGATAACCTTCAAATGTTCGACTAATTGGGAAAAAGAGTAGGTCTTTTTTATTCGCGATAAACTTCAAAAGTTCGGACTAATTGGGAAAAAGAGTAGATCTGCTGGTTGATTTTTAGGTCTGATGGTTGATTTTTTATTTATCTTATTTTCCTTCTGAAGAGGGGTAGGGGCAAGCTTTTTATGCTTCCTTTACGGCATAAAACTTATATATTTGTCTTTATCCAACCGTCTATTTTGAATGAAAGGCTAAGATTGCCCCAATCACAATGTCACGTCTCTACACTGTTTTATTTTTAATATTTTTTTATATAAATTATTTTCACACCAAAATTTGGGCGTCTAATCCTATACTAAACATGCACTTGTAAAAAAATATTAAAAAAACATATTCTCAATTAAATAAAATGATCAAAATACCTTTGAAAGTTTCAAGGGGTATTATGGTCAATATATTTTATCAAAAAATTAGTTTTAATATATTTTATAGGTGCGCCCCAATGAAAATATGGCAAGTACCAAATTTTATACTCATATAATTTGTATAAAAAGTTAAAAATAAAATACTCAGAGACATCAGATCTAAGATCAAACAGTGAGTGGCTCACTTGATCAAAATTGGCCGGCTGGATGGTAAGAGAAGCATGGATAATCTTCTACGTTGTAGGGGAAGTATAAAAACATTTTCCGTCCTAACTCTAGGTCTTGCTCATATTTGACAAGGGATAAAATATATAGACTGTTTATTTTTTCTTGATACAAGAATGTCATAATTATTCTTAGACATCAAATACGAAATCAGTTTTGATACAAAAAAGGTCATAATTACGCTTAGACATCAAATACAAAATCAGGCGACTAACGATGCTTCACAGATCTCAAAGAAATTTTTGTGAAGCACAGCCCCAGCCTTCCAATTTAAAATCTACAGGCTTAAGACCTTCTAATATTAATACATATTTTACTTGAAAATAATCGCACTTCTAGAGACCCTACTGCTTCTTGTCCATGTTCAGTTGGGCTATCAAACAATATCCATCTTAATTAAATTTGTTCTAGAATGACTACGATCCGAATCCCATAATATATAAAGAACCAGAAATCCGTACGTTCTGTCCATGAACCGGTTTGAAAGTTTTTAATTCACAATAGGTGGTATTGGGCAGTCCCTCCTTCATAAATTAAAATTATTTACCACGGAGAAGTAGCCCCTTTGCTACCCGAAAGCTTCTTTATTAGGGAGGGTCCACGATAATTTGGAGCCATTCTATAAGTCCTTACCCTTCTGTTTGTGCTTCGATGTGGGGCTATTTATATTGTATAGCATATAAACTTATTCACTCGATAAAAATAAAAAAAGGGTGTAATGTCCAAATATGTAGTGTTTGTTATCTATATTCTATGGTTCAATAAGTATTTTTCTCTTGATGTTCGTCCTAATAACCCTAAATAAATACTATTTTTTGTGATAAGATATAGGATACGGGTTCTATGAGTCCATGTAGAAATGAGTCGTCTCTTAAAAATCTATTTTTGATAGAGATTATTTGACTTAATGTTTAAGGACGTGCAATCTATAACATGGAGATCATGAATATAAAAAAATAAATAAATTTTGAAAATTAAAATTAATACTTCTATTAATAAAACATTTCGACTGTTAGTTTCAATTGTCTCTAGATGGACCACCACCTGCTTGCATCCATCTTTAAAACGGATACTTTATACCTTGGGACGGCATACGGTAGAAATGTGGTCCAGTGCACATTAAACAATTTTCCTTACCTTAATACAATAAACACTCATATATAGGACAAGTTCTCAATATTTATATGTTTTTGAAAAAAAAGAAAGCCAAAATGTGATACTATTCTATTTTTGATAACCTATAAAAACTAGATTTTAAAGGTATTTTACAGATTTTTTTTTTAAAAAAAATTGCGTTCGAAACCAACCAATTCTTCGATCCGACCTGATTGTTTGGATGGCCGATCTAGGTCATCCATCCGTTTTTTAAAACCTTGATTTTCTAACCCCTAACTAAGGTTATACTCCAACTGTAGGTGTAAGGCTCTTTATGCTGTTATCAAGGTTTAATAACGCCCAACATTACGGGTTAACGTACACAACCCTTTTGGATAATATCGCTACATGTTCTTTCGTTTTAAGTAACAGATGAAATTTTCTCAAAAAGCAGATATTACTACATCACGCCCTAGTGCTTATTAGTGGCATCACCTTTTCTTGTGATAAATTAATGCATACTCCCAATACACACCCTATATATAAGTGATATACTTACTGTTACATTAACCATTTGCTGTTATAACGTTAAAACGTACTGGAAACCTTGTTAACAGGTACCTACGAGACGTGGCAGTGAACTTTTTACTAGCGGGCAGAGACACAACGGGTGCAGCCCTCACATGGTTCTTCTGGCTTGTGTCGACGCACCAGAACATAGAGGCCAAAATCATAGAAGAGCTCAAAGCCAAGGGGACAGACGACCATCGCGAGCTTGTATATCTGCATGCCGCACTTTGCGAAACCATTCGACTCTATCCTTCAGTTCCATTAGACCACAAATGTGCCCTAGAAGAAGACATTTTACCTGATGGGACAATACTAAAATCAGAAACAATGGTGCATTATAGCATATATGCGATGGGGAGAATGGAATGGTTATGGGGGAAAGATTGCTTAGAATTTAGGCCTGAAAGGTGGCTTGGAGAAGATGGAAGGCTCAAAGGAGAAGGTGGTTTTAGGTTTTTGGCCTTTAATGGAGGACCAAGGACTTGTGTGGGAAGAGACTTGGCCTTTGTGCAAATGAAGTATGCGGCTTCTGCAGTGTTGAGTGCATTTCAATTAGAGTTGGTTAAGGGGCATAGGGTTTCTCCCAAGACTTCTGTGATTTTAGTCATGAAGAAGGGGCTCATGGTTAGGGTCAAGGAAAGAGAAGGGAGTTGGTGAATAGTTAGAATAGTTTTAATTGTGGCTTGTGTGATTTCAAATATATAATGAGTGTGATGTTGAAAGATTTTACATTATGGGTACTTTTAGTTGTTTACACTTCTCACTTCATCACAAATAAACCAAGGGTTTTACCAATATTATGCTTGTTGTTTACTGCATTGTTAGATTTTTGTTAGGATGAGGTTTATATTAGGTGCCTGCCTTTTACTAAGGCTTTCCTCTAAATTTCGCACGAAGATGTAGGTCCGGTATTGGAAATCTTATGATGCTTGAAAACTTATATTCAATCCTAATTATTAAATTTAAAATTTCAGTGAGCTGAGATTGCCTAAGGATATCACCACAAAACTCTCTGGAATTTCACCACAAAGCATGTTATTTTCAAGCACCAGAAAGCATGTTATTTTTCAAGAACCAGTCTCCGAATATTAGCCATCTTTCTAATTGATTCAGGCAAGGAACCATAGAGTTTGATTATCACAAACTTTCAGAGAACCCACGTCTCCAATGGAGCTAAGGATTCTCCCTCTTAGTTGGCTATTGTTCAAATAAAGCAGCAAGACTTGATGGATTTCTAATAGAGTACGGATTTGATAGCTTTTCAATGGATTAAGGGATGAAGACGGAGAACTTATCTTCTGACATCTCCATGTAGTTGAAGTTGGTTTGGTGCCCAATTCTAAAAGGGATTTCACCCAAAAATTGGTTTTCATGTAGATCAAGACTGATTAAACCCACCAAAGAGAGATTCGAGGTTGCTGAGAAGCTGCAAATTAGACACGTTAGAGAGAAATCACAACAAACAGATATAAAATAAGAGGGCGGTAGAGAGAGGAGAGAGAAAGGCGGAGAGAAAGAAAGAGGGCTGATAGAGAGAGAGGAGCCAGAGGACGGGTAAAGAGAATAATAATAATGAATGTAAAAAAAGACCATTTATCTTCGTTTTTGTTTTTTTTTTTTTTGGCCTATAAAGATCATAATCATTCACTTATTTAGATGTCAAGCTTGAAGTCTGAACAAAATAAATTTTTTTTTAAAACCGTGTGTATTCCCAATAATACTCTTACAATCACCTATTTTAAAATCTAAAAGACAAAAATAAGTATGACTTTCATGTAAAAAAAAATCAATGTCAAATTGGATGACTTGAAATTAATTATAAAATCGGACTACTTTTTTTAAAGAACTTTATGTGTATTCTCAATAACTCTTACCACCACCTATTTTAAAACTTAAGAGACTGTTGTGACCTTCATGTCAAAAAATAAATGGTCTACTTGGTAAAAGTTTTTATAAAACCATGCTTTAAAATCCACCCCAAAAATTTCACTAGAAATTAAATTAACCCTCAAATTGAACAGCTTTATGTTAAAGATGTATGGACATTAAAAAAAATCAATTTTTAAATTTAAAAAATAATACATCTTATAATAAATATTTAAACCAACAATTTTTACGTTTTCATATATATACTCAAACTAACACTATTTTTTATTTTTTCAATTTCATAATTAAAAATAAAAATGTAGTTTAAAATTATCACAAAGATTTTCAATAATTGAAACGGTTTTACTTTGATTGGTTCTGCACCTTAATATAATAACAATAATAAACAAATAAAAACATTTCAATCTCTATTTTATTTTATTTTAACTTTTTAACTTTTTTACTGAAAGCATAAATAGAGAGCGTAAATACTAAAAAATATATATATATTTTTTTTTGATTTACAGTATTGGGTTTAAAGTATGATAAAGATAGTACGTTTGCAAAGCTCAGAGGTGAGTTACCTAGGAATGGAAATCACAATATTTAGTTCTTATAATTTTCCTTTACCCAAAAAAAAAAAATCACAACATTGTGTGAGTAGGTGTCGGGATGCTACCCATCTTTTCCTTAAAATTTGTCGTCTTAGTGTATGGAGCATCTTCATTGAAGAAAATGAGTGAAGGAAAAGAAAGTGAACTTTAGTCTCAAAGGCCAACTCAATCCAAACATTCTCATACACACAACCAAACACACAGACAGCAAAAGAACGTCCTCTCCTGTAATCCTCTCAACTTCCACTCCAAAAAGAAGAGTGCCTTCTCTAACAACAACAACAAAAAACCATTTACATATTCTAAAAGAGCCATCCCAAAGGAGAAAAGCATGGATAGATCATTTCTACTGGTTCACAGCAGCAGGCAGCAGCAGCAGCAGCAGGCAGCAGCAGCAGCAGGCAGCAGAGGCAGCAGGTGGCAGCAGCAGCAGCAGGAGGCAGCAGCAGCAGCAGGCAGCAGCAGCAGGAGGCAGCAGCAGGCGCAGCAGCAGCAGGCGGCAGCAGCAGGCAGCAGCAGGCGGCAGCAGCAGAGGCGACGCCGCCGGGATAAGTGGTGAGGTTGGGATTGTTTCGCAGCTTAGCCTCCGCTATGTTTTGGGCATCCTTGTGTGTCACCGGCTTGTCTGATGGCAACTTTAATGCCGCTCCGCCCCCTGTCAACCAAACCAACAAATGACACCTGGGCAACTTCAGAAACGTCCTCGTGAGAGACAGCGCCCGCCAACAGCTTCGTTGCGGTCAGATGCACTCTGTATGGTGCCAACGACGCCACCCTTCAGGTTGCGGCCGAGGACCTGGGTTTCAGCGGACTGCATCTCCAGGGGCGACGACCTCCTTTGCAAGGTCGCCGGAAACAGGGAAAACGTCGCCGTATTTTATGGGCTCCGGCGATGGCCTCTGGGGTTGCTCCTGACTCATGGCTAAAAACTTTCAAACCAAGCTTTTACAGTAGAATTTCGCTCTACTTTCTTTTGTGGGCCAGATTCTGGCACCGTTTCTCTGGCAGTGGGTCGGATTCTTTTCACAAACAAAGAGGAAAGTGTTGCATTTTGTATATAAAGATTTTGGAATTGAGTTTATTTAAAATCTTCGTTTTTGCGAAAGTTGTGATGTGTGGAGTTAGGATGATTATGGGTGACGTGCTGTATGTATTGTGTGCTCGAACCAAGTGGAAGTGGGGGTGGTGATGAGAAAGAGATGGACAAATGGTTGGGTTAGTGAGAGGAATAGACGGTCCATTGCCTCTTTTTACACCAACAACAACATTCAACAAGAAACAGCCCTCTCTCCCCTCTTCACATCTGCAGGGCAATGAGAGTAGCGTTTTCTGAGAGTGAGAGAGGCCGAGAGCATGAGAGAGGCGAGAAGAGAGCAAAGTTTTAAGGGGTTATAAAGAAAGCGATTGGATGTTTGAAAATTCAGACTTACGACAAATTTGGGGTCCATCCTTCTCGATAATAACAACAGTATTTTATGATTATTAAGTTATAAAAGTAAAAATCCCAGTCCATACGTAAATTTCCCTAAATAAAAAATTAAGTTGAAAACTTCGTGGTCTCAAAATCCAAAGTCATGGCATTCCATACAAATTGAGTATGAACGTAATATCCATATGGAGATTTTGTTAATAATGGTAAATTACAAAGGTATTTCTATAATTTCCTCTTGAATGTAACTACAACGTAATAACTTGAGGAGAATATCGAACATTAGCAACCCAAGTTTCCAAGAAAAGCAATTGGGCTGTACTTCTTCACAACCGCATCATAGAAACCCTTTTGTCTTAGAACCCCATGCTCTCACGCCGTCGACCACGTTGCTCCAATAATCTTAATAAAAAAACGTTATTGCACCTCTCAAACAGAATTTTGTGACATCAGTTTTCAGGCATTGATTTAAACACGTAAATTAAATAGTATAATTATAAATAAATAAAACCTATTCAAGTTTTATTTTGACTCCCAACTTTAGCAAGGCAAGACCTTACATTAACTAGCAAACTTGTACCACACGAGTAAGGTGCAACTCAAACTCGAAAATCTAGTAAAAAAGAGTGTTCAGGATTTTGCACCACTTATTTTGCACTGTCTATTGACATATTTTTCAAGATAATGTCTTAAAACTCGCTTTTTTTTTGGACAAGAGTACTTACTTTTTATTTATTGAAATGGAAATACAAAACATTTGTCAGAATAAAACAGAAGAAATTAACAGAGACTCCAGAGGAACCCCTTTCTTCGCAAAATCACTGCAATCCCATTTGCCTCTGTATGCACATGATGGAAACTCTTGCATATCCTTTCACACAAGTATCAAGTCCACACCCAACTTAGATAGATGGTGTAGATTATAACTTCACTTCACCCTGCATTTATTATCAATTACATAATCCAAATAGTTCAATGTAGGCGATCAGATGCGCAGGAAAAAGCCTCAATTTCCTGCTTTTCTCTTTCTTTTTTTCTTTGTCCCCAGAAGAAAACATGCAACAAACAAATTCTACAGCCATCACATAGATATCCACTTCCAACAAATTGCCTCTCAAAGAGAAACCACCTCCGAACACACTTCCAAGCCGTTACCTACACAATCACAGGTATAAACTACCACATCATTTGAATGAGAAACACATCGAGCTCAACTATACCACACCATCTATTATCAAATTAATAAATGAAACAATCAATCAATCACTTAGAAAATACCAATAATATATAAATCCCTCAGTATACAAAACCACATCAAAAAACCAAAAAAAAAATTTATATACAATATATGCATACCAAAAAGCAAGTCTTCAGACCTACAAACTCACAATCACTTGCGGTCGGATGTGAAATCCGATAGCATGTGGTGTGTCACAGAGCCCAAAAAGTATTCATTTGGATTCTGAGCACGATCAATGGCACACCCTCAGCCATCTGATTTCACATCTGACAGTTAAAAGTGATTGTAACCTCTTTATTTTAAAAGTAGATAATTAATACTTTTCCTGAAATGTTTCAGCAAATTTTCTTTCCAAATTGTAGAAGATGTGTCTAAGATCGCACCATCTGGGTCAAAAAAGAAGACTTGCTTGATCCCATCCGCTCGAGTCTGATGGTGAAACTCGATCCCCCTTTCCTGCCATGGACAAGATCACATGAAGTGGTAGAATCAATCTCAGTAAGCAGACACCTAACTCGTCCACGTTGATGATCGCATTTTGATTCTAATCGCAAAAGAAACCAGTGAAATAATTTGTAAATAACCTCCAACTTGACTTAACCCAGGTTTTGACTGAAATGTATGAACACCACGACTGTTCCAAGTCAGTTTATGAGTTTTACAGTCCTTTTACAACATATTACAAGGATTCTTTCGAAACCACGACAATGATTCATCACTCAAATAAAGGCATGAAAGAGAAGCCTTGAATCCACCTATTTAAACACAGAGAAGAGTCTACTTTGTTGTCACTTTGTAAATTCTTGCCCACACAACTCAACCTCGAAACCGCAAATTGTCTTTTCTTGCTTGGGGAGAATTGTTGGAATCACCATGGAGAATCAAACATGATACATAACATCCCCAAATTCACTGATAAAGTTAAATTTGGGTTCCCTTCTTAGCAAATTAAAAGGAAATTTATTATTACCACCAGTTCTATAAACTCTATTTCTGGCGTAAATGAATGACCAGAATGAAAAGAGCCACAAATGGTCACCCCTGATGGTGTGGAAAAGGAGGATTGAAGAGCAACTATGAAGTCATACAAGATGATGTGACTTTTTCTTGGAAATTAAGATAAGACGAAACCCTGAATCCATTTCAGTTGCTGAATGAAATCACCTATGCATTTCAGAATATTATTACAGTCCCTCTATACAAAACAATATCTTTGACTATAACAGTTATAAACCACTGCAATAGATCAATCTATTTAAACAAATGAAAAAGATAAACAAGTTTACCCATTGTCCCTTCCCAATGAAGGACCCTGGTTATCAACTATAGACCCAAATGATGGACATTCACCTTGGTAAATATCCACTTACTGTAATTGGGACTGGGTGAAGAGAACACACGGTGCACCACATACCTTACACTCCCATAGGATGGTCTTTCTCTTAATCATCTCTAGCAGGTACCTAGAGTAGAAAGATAGCAAGAATGATGTGGTTTATGCGTTAATCCATCAAAGTAAACCACTCCTCTAAATCCTGCCGGAAGATGCAGTTTAAGTGCAAAAAACTTTAAAGATGGTCTGAAAATCTGTTTCCAAACCCAGTTATTAAATTTAAAACTCCAAAATGGTGAAATAGACTGTACAGATAATGTTTTACATAATGCATTTCTTTTAAGACTTAAAATCCTTTTTTTTTCCTCAAATATCCATACTTCTTGAGGTCAAGATAATCAATTGAAAGGTTTTCAAGCATTGGAATAACCATCTCTAATGAGTTTTGAGGTATGCCTCACATAGTATAAGGTTGAGATGCTTTTATAAAAAATTTCTTATGAAAAAAATACCTCAATAGGGAGTATGATGAAGTAATAGAGGAAGATTTGATGCATAGGACAAGGGGGTAAAAAACCTATCCTCCCTTTTGGTACTTCAAAGGCAGAACTTCAAAGACACAGTCTTGCAATTGTCAACCACCTTAAATGGTCAACACCTTAATCAATGAAGCTCAAGCCCTAATATTAGGGCAAAACTATTTTGAAAGTGCTACGTTTGATTCTTCAGAGGTGATCCCAATAAGCAGGAAAAAATGAAGTTTAGCCTTAGAATCAGACCCATGACATTGAGGATTCAAAAACGGTGGCAAAGATCTACTCAATTAGTTGTATCACATGAAGCACAACTCGATTACGGAAGTTCATTTCAAGGCCTTATTGTATGACATTGGTATGGATTTTTTAAGAAGCCTTTGTTTTGCAAGGTTCAAGAATACGGGAACAATTGTACTCAAAACTCTTTGGAGTAATTTTGTGGGAAGGTCAGCACAGCAACAACTTAGGCACTGAAATGATTTAACTCATTTGAACCATATTAATTTCACTTCTTATGGGATAAAAATTTACAAAACAATCACATGACCAACCTCCAAAAATCAGCAAAGCCAAGCTACTCAGCTTGTAAAAATCAGCCCTATACGACCTTAGTCACAAATACCAGACAACAACAAAGTATGGTACAATCTACCTAAGATAAAATGCCCATGCTAGTTTCTATTGGGGATTCATCAAGTGAGCTTTACCAACTATGCCAACATCACCATTTCCCCTTTATTTTTAGTTTAACAAAGGAAAGAACCCATTGATTTAAGGAACTGAAACTGCAACCAAGGAATATCTTAGAAAGTTAAAAACCCATTTATTTAACAGAAAAAAGATGTAACAGGTTAAGAGTTTGCCTTTAGGGTATCCATAAAGGAATCAAAGTTGGGAATGGAGAAACAGAGATGGTGAGCTCTTGGAAGATCCATAGGCTTCATGCAATGTGTAGGAATGCTAGAGGATGAGTTTGGGTCACTCTTGATGAGATGAAGAGATAGTGCTTGCCCTAATTTTAGCCAAACTACCTCCAGGCCTCCAAAATCAGGGTTTTCCATCCTTTCAAACCCTAAAATCTGCATCACCAAGCAACATTAAAAAACATAAAATTAAAAAGAACAAATATTTTGACTCCAAAAATTTGGTATCTTAGTAGAAAGTTGTTTTCCCAAAGAGTACATGAGAAAATTGATTCTGGCAACGAAGGTTTCAAAGATAACACAAGCATGCTGGGAAGTTCAAAAATAAACATTCAAATTGCAGATGATTTTTGTCCCATCTCCACCCAAATAAGGAAAAATGGGGATGTTTGTCACTACTTTGGTCTCGGGTCCGAACCCATGCTTATCTACATCCATTAGAAAGCCCCATTTCTGATAAAAATCCGCCATTTTTACAGAAACCTGATAAATTTAGAGAAGAATTCAGAGGAACAATAACATAGAGGATGCTTATGTAAATCCAGTAGAAAGCTCCATTTATGATAAAAACCCGCCAGTTTTACAGAAACCTGATAAATTTAGGGAAGAACTTAGAGGAACAATAACATAAAGGCGTTGCATCAGAATCACTGCTAAACGTAGAGGGAAATTCAGCCCGTACTTTCACACAAGAATCAGAAACAGGATTCAAATTTCGTAGGCAAAAGCTAAATTTGGCAGCTTATCTTGGTGCCCATTATATAATGGACTAAAGCGACATAACCGAAAATTTAACCGTAAATTCGTTGGATCGTAAATTCATTGTTATCGTTATGAGTGAAGACCTCTTGGTAAAATGCGACCAGACGCTTGACGTCAGGCGTTCCCTTTGCAATATGGTGAAGTCGAGCTCCGCTAAACCCTTCTTTCTCCATTCCTCCGGAAAAAATGTCCCCCTCTCTCTCTCTCTCTCTCTCTCTACTAACTTCCTTCCTCTCGACTACTTTCTTTATAGTATACTATTCTTTCTACGTAGTTACTACCGACCAACGACAATAAGACAGACTACCGTCGTCGTTGTGAGTACTTCTAGAGAGAGAGAGAG